GGCCGGGTGGAATCCAGTTCATCCTCTATCACTGCGGGAGTTGTCCCAGGCCGCCGCGCGGAGAAATGCGCCTCTGTTCGTGTTGGAAACGAATCTGGGGACGTGTCTGAAGCGCGGTCAAGTTTGACTCATCGCTTTCCAAGGACAGTTAGTGCCTTCCATCTTCATTAACGTGAATAAAGACCTTGGCTGACTTCTGTCTAGATCGAATTTTAAAAGGCATTGTTTGCTTGGGGGAGATCATGCGTCTCTCTCCTGCTCAACAGCACCCCCCCCCGTACCCCAAGGCCGATCCCAGTCCAGCCAGGATGGGGGAAGAGATCTCTGCTGAAGGACATGGTTTGCTGGCATTGTCTGCAGGCCTTCTGGATGCTGTCTTGGCCAGGTTCATGGGGAGCATCCCCTCGGCTCTTCAGATCTTGATGATAAAACTCATCCCTTTGTTTTATTTTATTTCCTCGAAGTTTGCAACCTTGCAAGAGCTCTGGGGCAGGACGTGTGACAGAAATGAAAGTCAGGCCATAAAGTCCTCTATTTAGTTTGGTTCACGCAGCTGGGAGGCCATCACGCGACCAGTACCTCTTATGATCTTTACTGTCATCGCCACCCAGAGGCAAGAGCAGCATTATTGTCCTCCTCTGCCTCCAGAACAGAAGCAACGCTTTGACTCTACCCGTTATCTCCAGAACGCGGTGGCTAGACCTGAATACCCTGTTAGGAAAGAGCGGTCCTGTTGGCGCCCAGAGGCAATGTTTCAACGCGTCACCCCCGCACCCCCATCCCGCCTTATTCAAACTCCTTGCCCCTAGACAGTGCTTTATACTTTGAGAATCCTCTTGGGATTCTTTGGCGAGCTATTGGAGTTATTAGATTACCAATAATCCAGCAACCATCCTGGATAGAGAGGAGTGGAAAGGCTTTCTCCAAATCCAGACAATGGCCAAACTAGGTCAAAAGGAAGGAGGGGCGGGCCGAGCAGCCAGTTGTAGTTTCAAACCTTGATGGAGGGCTCTCTCTAGCGTCAGGACGAGGTAAATACATCATCGTGATTGCACTTGTAATAAGTGCGGTAACTCCTCAGATATTCAACCCGGTCCTGTTTAAAAATTCCCTTAGCTCAGGGCGAAGGACGAGGAAAACAGAAAACAGGATCTTGAGAACAGAGAGACCCCATCTGTGGGGTGCGAGCCTGACCCCGCCTCTGCGCGCGGAGATGCAACCCGCTACTTTTAGGACTGGACTAGGTTGGGCAGAAACCGCCCCAAAGACGCAAGGGCGCTGAGCACTTAGTGGGTGGTCACAGCGGGGGACATTCCTGAGACCGAGAGGCAGCCTTGCGGGGTCTTAGAGCTCCGACAGCAGTCGGCGCGGTTACCCTGTCTCTATGTTTTCGGGGGAAAATAAGATTCTGAAATCCTGGAGCCTGTCTGGCTTCAGCCTGGTAGCTCTGGCTCTAAAGAAGGCTGGGCGGAAACCTCCCCTTTCTTGCCAACGTAGGCGGAAGAGACTTTCAGTTTAGTTTTCTTTTAGGTTTAGTTTTCTTCCCATTCGGCCAGGTCTAGAAGGTTGGGGACCCTTACTCCTGGGGGACTTTATCTCTTTGACCTTGACTTCTTACCTACCCATCCCCTTCTAAAGCAGGGGAAAAAAATAGCAAACAAGAGGACAAAAAGAAACCCCAAGAAATAACTTCAAACCCCCAAGACAAACAACAACAAAACAAAAGCAAACAAACTCCAGCCACCCAGTTGTCAGAATGGGGCAAACTGGAAATCATGGAGCGAACCTCGGACTGTCTCCAGACTCCTGGGCTCCACACTCTGCGGTTTTTAGCTTGTTGGGGGCAGGGATGGGGACCAGGTGGACTCGGGTCTGGAAGCCAGAACCCATGTGGACGGCGGATTTAGGGGAAAGGGTGCTCTGTCCCCGGCCAATGCTGCATAGCCAGCAAACCCGGATTGGGCTTCCTGGAAAGTTACTTCTCGTTGGAGCCCGCGCTGGGCAGGAGTGTTCTATGAAATCCTCAGAGCTGAGGTCGACTACATTCCGGGAATGAGAGGGCTGTGCCATTCCCCTCGTGGCCCCCTGCTTTGACAGAGTAACAGGAAAAAAAAAAGTCGCACATAATGTTAGCTACCGACGTTCAGGAAAACATTTATTTGAATGTAACCAAATTAAGGGCCGTTACAGTCCTTCCACCCGGCCCTGGCCGCACCTTCCCGGGCTTCTGGCGGATGGGCAGCAGTGCCAACCGATCGCCAGGGGGTGGGCGGTCCCAGGAAGACAGGTACAGACAGCCAGGTGCGGTGAGCGAGTCTGCGCAGGCTTGCCAGGTGGCGGGGCTGGGGTTTGTGCCGGTGCGTGTGAGCAAGCAGTGCGACTGCCTAGTGCCACCTCCGCCCAAAAGGGAAGGGAAAGAATGAAGTCTTTAGCATTGGCTCCTTTGCTAGCTCTCGCCTCGCCTCTCAGGTCTCTCTGCTTGTCTCTCTCTCTCTCTCTCTCTCTCTCTCTCTCTCTCTCTCTCTCTCTCTCTTTCTTTCTCTCCTCCCCCCCCCCGTTGTTCCCAGTTCTGCTGCCTTCTTTGCCTGTTTTTTTTTCTCTCTCTCCTCTCCCCCCTTTTTCCTCCCAATTGAAGCTCCTCTAGAGAAGCTGTCTCACTGAGTGCACACAGGGAAAGTGCCCTGGGAGGGAAAGGATGCAGGGGTGGGTTAGTCATCATTTAATTCTTAGTTGGGGATTACTGCAGCTGGACCTGGAGTTAGAGCGGAGATCCAGTTCTTGTTCCCTTCTCCTGGCTGGCCTAATTCTCCCCTAGGCTTGTTTTCAGAGAACCTTGTTGGCGGATGATTTTGAGATCTTGGGCAAGGGCTTGTTTCGGGAGCCTCAGTTTCCTTCATAGTGAATCCTGACTGTTATAAAGATAAGGTACAATGATGGGTGGGAAAGGACTGAGTGATTTGTCATCCAAACAGGCTGGTTCGCAGAGCTTCCGTGTCTGCAGTGCCTGGAGGGAGGTGCCATTCAGCTAGAACATTAGCCGGCACCCTGGGAGTTGCGGTGGGGCTGCTGAGAACAGTTGGCTCGTAGAGACGTGAATCCTAGAGCCTAGTGACTGCAGAGCACAGGCTGCCGGGGTCTGGGCAAGCGCGTTGTAGAAGGAGACAGGCTTAAAGGAAAAGCCCAAGGCCAGCCTGACAGTGGACATAGCAGGGCTGCCTTTTTGGTTTGCTTTCGGTCTGTCCTCATGTGGAGTGAGTCATTGCCACTTGTCATGGTGAAATGGCAAATCTGGGCTTCCTGTGGTTCCAAAAGTCTGTGACTGGAAATCCACAAGTGGTTGAAGCTCAGCACAAGTATTCCAGAAGGGTTTGTGGATCTCTTCCACGGGGAAGCAGGAGAAAGTTAGTAAATAAAGGTCACATGTCTGCAGCATTTATTTTCAAAAGAGACAAGTTTATTGAGGTTCTGTGAGGCCCAAGTGAAACCTGTTTCCTCACTCTGGATTGGGGTGGGTTCAGGAAGAACTAGGTTCTTTCCTCTTTTTTTTCTGCCCTCTCTCTTCCCCCGTGTTCTACCCTAGACCCACTCACACACACACACACACACACACACACACACACACACACACACACACATCTTAAGCTCAAAGCTGATGAGATTGACTGACTGGCCTTTGGCACCACAGAGAAATATCTGAGTGGTTACAGACTCAAGGAAACCTCTCATTTTAGAGTGCTCATTTGGTAAGACTCAGCCCCGTGGAATGGGACAAAATTGGTGTGGGGGAAGGAGCTTAAAACTGAGATTCACCCACCTCAGGGTGCCGCTGTCTTGCGTTTTTTACAGCACGTAGGCTGACTTGGAAAGAGGACAGGAATCTAAGCCAGAAGACCTAGGGCCAGGCCATCAGTGATCTACGTGGCCCGACATGACCTCACTGGCCTTAGGCTACTTTACTGGGAAAGCAGTTTTGGAGGGCCGTGCTGTTGAAATGGGAGAGCAGAGTTCCGATATATTATCACTCTGCTTTGCAGCCCACATCTCATCATAAAGGAGAGTCTTGCACCTACGTTCTTAATGATTTTTGTTTTAGAGAAACCAGTCTGGAGAGAGCACATATTTCATTAAATCTCTTTAAGGCTCCCTGGCCAGTTCTCAGCTAAACCACACAGTTAAATCTTTCACCAGCCAGGAGAAGGCCAAACTTGGAAGCTAGGGTCAGTCCTCTGTCTAGTCTTAGACCTGGAAATAGAGGGAGGGGAAACTTTGAAAAAGAGGGCAAAGATACTCAAGGAATGCACAAACATGATGTCTTGGGTTTTATTCTGTAGACTTGGTATTCCGTCTTAAGTGTTCCAGAGAATCAGGAGATACTGCCTGGCTGTTTGTCCTGAACAAGTCATTTGAACCCTGAGTCTCAATTTCATCACCAGTGAAATAAGGATAAAGATATTGGCTGTATCAGCCTTGTGGAATCATTCTAAGACTTGAAAGATAATATTTTTAGCAAGGGTTTGAATAGCATCCAGTGTTTTTCGGTCCCCGAAGAATCATTATCATTAATATTGAAAGAGTTAGTTATTTTTTTTGTTTCCCATAAACCAAAATGGTCTTTTGATGTATATGTATATACATATACATATATATTTTACCCTGGGAAAGGAAATATATGTATACAGGCATTTGTAATTAATGCTGGCAGTGGTATTCCCAGCAGTAAGGCTAAGGCATTGTTACCAAATGGCTTTGAGTGCCTGTTGTTTCTATAAGCGCAGAGATGGAATATGTTTGCTAGCTTGTGGGAAAACCGCACCAGCTGGCAGGCTGCAGCTATCAAAGCAAAGCTAACTACGTGTGTCCTAAAATAAGACTGAGTGGACAATCTTACAATCATTTAGTCAATCTCTGTTTGCTCTCTTCTCTGCAGTTTTAAAGCAAAATTTTGGACTGTGAAGCAAGGCATTGGGTGAGTAGATCGAATCATAGGCTATAAGATTTGTAGATGAATTATTTCTTTTGAATTTCACCCACCCATGCATGTGTGCTTCTTTTTAAGCTTGCCACCTTTCGCTTGACGAGCAAAGGATAATGACTTCTCTCTGTACAGATCTCAGCGCTCACCCCTCTGTCCCGATACTAACTGACTAAATAGCGCTGCGTGGTATTATTCGTCCAGCCCTTATTCGTTCACAGTTCAGGCTAGTCTGGTCGCCTCCTCGGCTAGGGTTTGCTAGTGCTAAAGCATTCAAATTATTGAACGAAACAGCTCACAGTCCCAGAGCATGGGGTGGATAATGAAACGACATACAGATAAAAATAGCTGCACCTTTTTTTTTTTAAAGAACCTATTATAGTCTAGGCACATATTTCTAATTTTAAATACCACATAGGTATTGCCCTTCCTATTTTGGAAAACCAAAGCCCAGAAACAGTAACAGCGCACTCCACGTCATAGAGCTGGTGAAAGGCAAAGCGAACTGGGTAACTCTCCAAGAGTGGTTTTCTTCATTGCAACATACTCACTGCCTCTCAATGCTTGGCAGTGTCTTTAGTATGTGGGAAAAACACTTAACTGTCCTTCCCTTCCCCTTTCCCCTAAAGAGCTTTCTACCTTAGCTTTTATTCTCCCTGATCGACAGCTATGAGTAGAAATGTCCAGAGATGGACTAGGAATTGTTCACTAGATACCTGAGTTGCGTTCTACACCTTAGCTTGCTAAACTATTGTCTACGTCTTTTGGTAAGCAGGGAGTAGATTCTAGAGGACTAATAGGAATTTAATTTCTGTTCAGGCAAAGACAACATGGCCTCGCCGGCTGACAGCTGCATTCAGTTCACCCGCCATGCGAGTGATGTTCTTCTCAACCTTAATCGTCTCCGGAGTCGGGACATCTTGACGGACGTCGTCATTGTGGTGAGCCGTGAACAGTTCAGAGCCCATAAGACAGTGCTCATGGCCTGCAGGTGAGTGGGGTTGGAGTGAGGGGTGACTGTATAAAACGGGGAGGTAGGCCAGGTGTTGGTAATGCACGCCTTTAACCTCAGCACTCCGGAGGCAGAGGCAGGCAGATCTCTGTGAGTTTGAGACCAGCCTGGGCTACAAGAACTAGTTCTAGAGCAGGCTCCAAAGCTACAGAGAAACCCTGTCTTGAAAAAATAAACTAAAATAAATAAAACGGGGAGGTAGGATTGGCAGCCGCCAGCGAGACAAATATGTAGGCCGTTCCTTGTGTCTGTGATGATATTCCCTTAGTCTCCAGATCTCAGCACCTGGCCTGGTGTTCTGGACTTTCAGGAAACAATTGAAGGAACACACCTTTAGAGAACAGAGGCATAGGGGGTGAAGAAATGTACTCTCAAAGACACGATGCGTCTGAAGCCAGAAGGGAGACACATGCTGGTTAACTAAAAGACATTCAGTTAATCAGTGTGCGGATGAAAAGCAAAGGGCAGGTTCTAAATACTTTAAGCACGATAGCTTTTGCCCTTTTATGCCATAACTGTACTTTATTAACAAAATATTTTTTTGAAAGAGATTTTAACACATTACTTAGCTAAGGCTGACCTTGAAATTCTGATTCTCTTACCCCAAGTGCTGGGATTGTAGATATGAACCACTGTTCCCAGATTGTTGGACTTAATTTATACTATAACTATAGTCCCATGGTTTAAGTAGAGAGTGAGTAAGTGTGATAATTCTGGGTATTTTCCCTGAATTTCAAGTTTCCTGGGTGATATCATCTTAAGTCAATTCTAAGCTCTCCCCACAAGCTGTCTCTTGTGGATGGCACCATGTCTCCATTTTGCAATGAAAGCAAGGCACAGGTCTATGCAGTGATGTACAGCTCTGTGTTGCAATTAGAGAAAGTAGCTAATGTCTAATAATAGCGCTTAAAAATATTGTGAAGGGCTGGCTGATGAGATGGCTCAGGAGGTGAAGGCACCTGCCCCCAAGCCTGATGACCTGACTTCAACCCTAGGACCAACATGGTGGAAGGAGAGGAGTAGGTCTGACATGCTGTCCTCTGGCCTCCACTCCCATTCTGTAGCACACACACACACACACACACACACACACACGCACACATGCACACACACACACACACACGCACACACACACGCACACACACGCACACACGCACGCACACANGTTTTTTTTTTTCCCAGCTCTAGAGAAGGGGAGGAGGCTGGAGCCCTGTCGGGAGAGAGGCAGGAGGGTGGAGGTGGGGCAGTAAGGAGTGAGGGGGAGAGGGAAGGCTTCATAAATATTCAGAAGTAGCCCTGAAAGGCGAGAGAGGAATAAAGCAGATGGAATTCGTGTTAAAGAACGGCACAATCACCCTGTTTTGAGCCCTCCAAAAACAAAAAGAGAGAAAGAAAAAGTAAAAGGAAAGAAAAGGGAACAGCCTCCTAGGAGCGTAGGAGTTCTTATCCAATTAGCAGGGTTGTCAAATTGAATTTATATGGAATAAGGGTGAGGGGCTTGAGATGGGAGTGTGGAAGAAAAAAAATGGTGATTTTCCTTTTCTGGTGTCTGTCGGTCTATCTACACACCACACACTACACACACACACACACACACACACACACACCTCCACACATGCACACACACACACACACACGCACACACACACGCACACACACGCACACACGCACGCACACACACGCACGCATGCACACACGCACACACACGCACGCACACACACGCACACGCACACGAAATAAAAATTTAAAATACAGAGAACAGAAATTTGTACAGACATAAAATAAGAGCTAGTGTTTACTGTGTGCCAAGCATCAGTGCTACCGCTAACAGTTTTCATTTTTGCCACAATCCTATTAAGCACACACAATTCTCCCCTTACCTTGGCAGATAAGGAAACCAAGGGACAGAGAAGTTAAGGGTATTAGACAAGGTTGAAGAATTGCTTATTGGGGAAGGAAGGTCTGGTTCGTTTCTGGCAACCCACCCAGAAAGAGAAAAGCTGAGAGAACAAGCTAGTCTAGAATTCTAGTTTTAGCTGAATAGACAACATGATCTGAAGCCAGGACTTGGGATTTACCTCAAATCTAGGAATAATTGACCTTCTGATGATCCCCGGCCTTTGAGAAAGGTGGTGGAGCATATGGATATTATTTGTCACCCAGCCCTTATTTGCTCCTCATGCCATCGGCTTTTTAAAATAAGGGTATTGTGGCAAAGAGAGGAGAGTACTTAGACGGAACTTAAAGTCAGTGTAGTGGCTGCAGATGAGAGCTACGTCAGGCAACAGGAAAGCAGTGCCGTGATTCTGAGACTGTTTCCCACTCTGCGAATTCAGTTTCCCCATTTGTAAAGGTGGAACTTGGCGGTACATATCTCACAGGATTAGAAAGGACAGAGGTTAATGTAAACATGCAAAACGCTTACAGAATTCCTGATGTGGGATGGCCTTCTGTCTATGTGTTACTTTTATTGGTTGATGAGTACAGCTGTTTTGGCCAATGACTTAGCAAAGTAAAGCCAGGCAGGAAATCCAAACAGAGTTATATAGAGAGAGTAGGTGTGGAATCAAGGGGATGCCGTGTAACTGCTGAAGGAGAAAGATGCCAGAATGTGACTGGTAGGCCACAGGCTCGTGGAGATACACAGATATGATAGATGTGTTAATTAAAGATATAAGAGCTATCTAAAAATACACCCGAGCCATTGGTCAAACAGTGTTGTAATTAATATAGCTTCTGTGTGACTGTTCGGGTCCGGGTGGCCGGGAAACCAAAGCACAGTCCCATTCACAAATTCCTGGTATCTGCTAGGCTGTCCACAGGTAGAAGGTATTAGCAAGTGCCACAGAGCTTAGGGCTCTGGGCTCTGGGACGACAAGACATAGATGCTTTGTGACCCCTACAGTTGCACCTCTGTTTGCCTTACAGTGGCCTCTTCTACAGCATCTTCACTGACCAGTTGAAGTGCAACCTTAGCGTAATCAATCTGGATCCTGAGATCAACCCTGAGGGGTTCTGCATCCTCTTGGACTTCATGTATACATCTAGGCTCAACCTGCGGGAAGGAAACATCATGGCTGTGATGGCTACAGCCATGTACCTGCAGATGGAGCACGTTGTGGACACGTGCAGGAAGTTCATCAAGGCCAGGTGAGCTGCTCTCTACGTAGAAGCTGGGGGTGCAGAAAGGATACTTCCAGATCAGAAACCGTGTCTGCCACGACAGCATCTAGGACACGTTACACCCACCTCGCTATAAAAATTGCGCAATTCTCCTCCCCTTTATTCGTGTACTCTAGGCAGATGTCATTCCTTGCAGCAGCCCAGATGTGTATGTCTTGGGTACCCCCCACCCCCCACACCCTGCCCCATTTTCTTTTAGTCTCTCTCCTTCCACTCACCCTGCAGGGCCAGAACTGGATGCCTTTTCCGCGGAGGTTTAGCCGACTCTCTCTGCTCCTCTGTGTTTGGCAGGCAGCATTTTTGCTTTTCCTTCCAATCTTCTCTTAACGATTGTGTGCATATGTGGGCCCTCCTTTAGATTTCTACCGTAACTATTTACACATGTGCCTTAGTACCCCACCAGAGCACAGGCCACCAGAGTGTATGTGACTGCCTTACTCTTTATCCATATAGCCACGCTCCCGTTGGGAGGACGCGTAAAGAACTGAATCGAGTTCACTTGGTCGAACCCTTACCCAAAGTGTAGGAGACGTGAACATCCGTGGAGGTCGAGGATGCTGAGAGCTGAGGAAGTGGAGAGCCTTGCTAAATACAGCAGCTACTTGAGGCTCAACTGTCTCAGAATCGCTCGCCTCGGCAGCTGGCAGCTTCAGGGAAACGGCCTTCTTTCTTAACAGAAGGCATTTCCAGTCTGCATCTGACCACTTCCAGGGACTAAGAACGCATGTTCTCAGTGCCGTACCATCCACCTGGGGTAGCTGGAAAGTCCCTCCGTACAGCCTCTTAAAATCCGGCTCTTGGAGCCCTCACTTTCTGATTCTGGCTCTGTTTGCTGGAGAGCGGGTTGAGCTGGCCTACTTTTTTCACCCACAGAAGTCCCTTTAAGTATTTGCAGCCAATGTTTTTGTCTCCAGTGGGTGATAATGGCGGCGAGTTCATCATTGCCTTCATTTGGGAGTACTTTATACAGGCCAGGCCTTGTGCTCCCAATAGTTAAGCAACTTGCTCCAGGTCAGAGCTGCGTTTGCAAACCAGGCCAGGCTACTCCGGAACCAGGGCTTTTGCACTGGTCACTGCCTGCTCTCCTCCTCCGTGGTCTTCTCGGTGCGTCTGTTGAACATATGGGCCAAGTCTATTAGATGATATTCTCTGAGTGTATCGCACTAACATTGCATACATTCTTCCCTCCTTGCTTCCATGTGTATAACATGCCTGCCTTTCCCTGCAGGATTTTATTCGAACGATTTAGCTCATTGCTTGAAATGAGATACAGGCCTTAAATGCTTTATGTAGCCCATCAAATTCTACATCACCAGAAGAATTATCATTCCCAAGACATGCATACATATGGGCCTCGTATTTGCGAGGTCAGGTCCAGTCAGACACAGACTATATGAGTGACTCATCTTCCTCAGTTTCCCCAACTGTAGCTCAGCTACTAGACCTCTGAGTATTAATACCTTATAATTGTGTTTCCCACTCCAGAGTCAAATCTTCCATGTTTAGCTGACTCAGACCCAGAAGTGGTTATATAGCTGTGGAAAGTCCCCTGATTAACAGTTCTAACCTGGGGTCTTTTTTTTTAACCCCCACAGCGAAGCAGAAATGGCCCCAGCACTTAAGCCTCCCCGAGAAGAGTTCCTGAACAGCCGGATGCTGATGCCCCATGACATCATGGCCTACAGAGGGCGTGAGGTCGTGGAGAACAACCTGTCCCTAAGAAATCCCCCTGGGTGTGAGAGCAGAGCCTTTCCCCCTAGCCTCTACAGTGGCCTGTCAACACCGCCAGCCTCGTATCCTATGTACAGCCACCTCCCACTCAGCAGCTTCCTTTTCTCTGATGAAGAGCTACGAGATGCCCATGCCCGCATGCCTGTGGCTAACCACTTCCCCAAGGAACGGACCCTCTCCTGCGACAGTGCCAGGCCAGTCCCCGGTGAATATAGCAGACCAGCCATGGAGGTGTCCCCCAGCTTGTGCCACAGCAACATCTACTCACCCAAGGAGGCAGTCCCAGAGGAGGCACGGAGTGACATGCACTACAGTGTGACTGAGGGCCCCAAGCCTGCTGCCCCCTCTGCCCGGAATGCCCCATACTTCCCCTGTGACAAGGCCAGCAAAGAAGAAGAGAGACCCTCTTCGGAGGATGAAATCGCCCTGCATTTTGAGCCCCCTAATGCACCCTTGAACAGGAAGGGTCTGGTTAGTCCCCAGAGTCCCCAGAAATCTGACTGCCAGCCCAACTCACCCACAGAGTCCTGCAGTAGCAAGAACGCCTGCATCCTCCAGGCCTCTGGCTCCCCGCCAGCCAAGAGCCCCACTGACCCGAAAGCTTGCAACTGGAAGAAGTATAAGTTCATTGTGCTCAACAGCCTCAACCAGAATGCCAAATCAGAGGGCACTGAGCAGGCAGAGCTGGGCCGCCTCTCCCCTCGAGTCTACCCGGCCCCACCTGTCTGCCAGCCACCTTTGGAGCCTGAGAACCTTGGTCTCCAGTCCCCAACCAAGCTCAGTGTGAGTGGAGAGGACTCAACTATCCCCCAAGCCAGCCGACTCAATAACATCGTGAACAGGTGATTTCAGAGGCTGTGGGTCTAAGGTCAGGGGTTACCTGTGCACAGTTCTGAGCTTCCCAGCCTCAGATGGATGCAGAGTGCAGGGCTGTGAAGTCTTCTGTCTGAAATGCTGAGGGGGACTAGTACGGGCATGAGTTAACCTGAGTCATGAAGCATAGTTCGCGGAAGTTGTATTTTTGTTTCATTTTCTTTTGTTTTCCATAGCAAGAGAGAGCATTGCCTTGTGTGAGAGAAAAGCATTCCACAAATCCCAGAGGCACTTCCTGTGGTCATGATGGATCAGGGAACCCTCCTTTTAGACCAAGAGAGGCTGTGGGCTGCAGGCCTTAGGAGAAGCAACTGAGCCTAGAAGTGGAAGTTAGGCACTCGTTGACACCAGTCAGCAAAAGAGAGCTTGAGGAGGGCTCGACCCTTAGAACTGCAGAAGGCAACTGTGATCTCTGGGCTTGCCTGAACATACAGAGAGAGGTTAGCATGGAGACCATGTGGACTACTACTGCTGGCTGCTGACACCCCTTTTTTTTCTGTCCACAGGTCCCTGACAGGCTCCCCCCGAAGCAGCAGTGAGAGCCACTCGCCACTTTACATGCACCCCCCAAAGTGCACGTCCTGTGGCTCTCAGTCCCCACAGCATACAGAGATGTGCCTCCACACTGCTGGGCCCACGTTCCCCGAGGAGATGGGAGAGACCCACTCAGAGTACTCAGATTCCAGCTGTGGTAAGTCCCTTTCTCCTCCTTCCCACTCAGTGCCTGGGAGAAGGGAGGCCCCTCTGCTCTGTGGGATTTGTGTTTCCATTTTATTGGTGCAGCTGTGTCTAGGAAATGACCTGGATTATAAATCCGTTGGTACTCACCATCACCAACAATGGTTAGTCTCTCCCCGTCGTCTACCAGGAACGGGGCTGATCAGGGGTAGGTGTTGAACTTGGGTAACTGAGTGGCTGAGCAATCTTCAGCTTCACCCCAGCAACAGTGGCTTTCAGGGCTGCTGGGACCCCCAGAGCTTCCTCAGCCTGTTTGTGCCAAAACTACTGTACCGACCTGGATGCGTGGTAGTGTTTCTTGGAAGGCTGTAGATTCTCTTTGGAGAAACTTCTGGCCTTAGTCATTCCTGTGTCTTCTACAGGCCTTAGTTGGTTCCTAGCATGGAGGAGGTACTTAGAAAAGGTTTGCTGGATTTAGTTGAACTAAATCATTAAATTCACATTTCCATATAGTCAGTGTTGGCTCCCTCAGTTTTTAACTCGGTAAAAAGTCTCACTCTAGAAGACAGCTCGAGCAACTATCTTTTGTGACCAAGGAAATATATAAGCAGGGTTAAATTGCAGCGATATACCACTCTCAAACTGTTGTGGCAAAGTAGAGAAGCTGCTGCCTGCGAGCAGCGTGGCACCAGGCCACAAATCAGAGGGAGAACAGGGACCGTGCCCGCCTGACCTCAGATGACTCTTCTGCAATCCAGTTCCTGCCTCTGGGCCTTTGTTTCCATTTCTGCCATCACCTTTAGGGTCCTGTCTTTGATGCAAAGAAGACCATGGAGTCTTTGTCATTAATCCCTCCTGAAGGGACTTAAAGACTAATTGGGTTAGATCTGGGTCTCGTGTCCCCATAATTTTATCATTCTTTTTCATAGTATAATGTGCTCCTGTGAGTAGGCAGGATAAGGATATTAACCTGACTTGGGAGACTCAGAGAGGCTTAGAGAGTCTTGCCCCAGGGCTGCTGTGTATGAATAGACGTTGAACTTTGAACTGATAAGAAAGCCTTCTCAGCGCTCCAGGAGGAAAAAAAAAAAAGCTTAAGGTATCCTCAAATTGGTGAGGCCATGTGAGAGCCCTAGACCTTGAGATTTAATCTTTCTCCCATCTCTGTCTTCCACGACTAAATGCTGAGAAAGATTAAAAAAAAAAAACCCACTGGTCCTATGGGTTCCCGTAAGTGTTGGCTAGGGAGCCCGGGGTCCAGGATAGCACTAGCCTACTTCCAGAGAACGGAGGCGTCTGAGCTCTACCATGCTGTCTACCTGTCTACCATGCTGACGTGGTTTCCCCCCATGCTCTGCAGAGAACGGGGCCTTCTTCTGCAATGAATGTGACTGCCGCTTCTCTGAGGAGGCCTCACTCAAGAGACACACGCTGCAGACGCACAGCGACAAACCTTACAAGTGTGACCGTTGCCAGGCTTCCTTCCGCTACAAAGGCAACCTCGCCAGCCACAAGACCGTCCACACGGGTATGGCCTTGTCCCACAGTGAGTGCTCCAGTTAGGGCTACAGACAAGAGGATAAACCTGGGGACTTTGTTGGCATGAAGCCGAAGGCAGGCCCCACCCTGGCTTCGCCTAGGGTGGTGGTTCTCAACGTACGCATGGCAACCCCCTTGGGAGTTGAATAGCCCTTTCATGGGGTCGCATATTAGACTGCCTGCGTGTCAGATGTTTACATTATGGTTCACAATGACAGCAAAATTACAGTTATGAAGCAGCAATGACAATAAGTTTATAATTGGGGGGTCACCATAAGGTGGCAGCATTAAAAAGGTTGAGAACCACTAAACTAGGGGCTTAACCCTGTCTTGTCCCTGCCACTCCCCTTACCCTTTGTGTGTCCTGCTTCCCTGCCTCTGCTGGGGTTGAGTGAGAAGACCAATGCTGGTAGTGGCAAAGTGGATTGGGTTCTGGTAGAGCCAGCTAACAACAAAAGCCGCTTGCTGCCCCTCAAGGACTTATCAACCAACTTACAGTCTTTTTCCCAGGGCAAGTCTCACAGCCTCATTGTCGTGGGCATTAACTAGCTCTCAGACCTTCCAGTGGCCCCATTATCCCCGAAACTTTCCGTAATGGAAGGCTCAACCCTAGATTGGTTTCCTCTGCCCAGCTTCTGCTCAGCCCCACACCCCGCCTGGCCTGCAAATGGAATACAGCTGTAGTTGCCTGCCACAAGCGGAAAAGTATGTTCTGCGAGAGAAACTAGAGCAGCCTGATAGTATCTCCCTGGCGAGCGAGTGGATGATTGCATCAGTCTGTCCAAGAGAAGAACCCAAAGCGTCTTCCCAGGTCGTCTAAATCAGCCCTTCCCACTCAGGGAGGGAAACTGAGGTCCAGAGAAGGACAGTCTCTTGCTCAAGCCCTTATAGGCTGATGCCCTAATGGCAACACTTGTTCTGCAGGTTGGGCTTCTAGAAGCCTCCCCCGTGTGTCCTAGGCATAGCACTGTTCACATCCGACCATGCCACTGCTTGTTTCTTGGCCTTGTCCCCTGCTGAGTGTGTTGGGGTGTGTGTGTGAAGGATGGGGGCGGGTCCCTAGATCAGTGGTTCTCAACCTATAAGTTGTGATCCCTTTGGGGGTTGAATGACCCTGTCACAGGGGTCACCTAAGGCTTTCAGAAAACACAGACATTTACATTACGATTCCTAATAGGAGCAAAATTGCAATTATGAATTAGCAATGAAAATAATTTCATGATCGGGAGTCCCCACACCATGAGAAACTATACTAAAGGGTCACAACATTCATTAGGAAGGTTGAGAACCACTGCCCTAGATTCTCCCTCTGACCTTGTTATAGAGAAGGGAAGGCCTAAGTCATCTTGGCCAGTTGCCTTGAAAGGAAGGGGCTGTATAGACCTTCATTAAATATGATCCTCCCCCCCCCTTTACCATGTGTCTGGCGACAGGTGAGAAACCCTACCGCTGTAACATCTGTGGAGCGCAGTTCAATCGGCCAGCCAACCTGAAGACCCACACTCGAATTCACTCTGGAGAAAAGCCCTACAAGTGTGAAACCTGTGGGGCCAGGTTCGTGCAGGTGAGCAGGGCTGCACGGAGAAAGGGTACCGTGGGGTGGGGTGAGGACCTGGGCGTAGGCTGGCAGAGCACCCTGGCAGCGTCTCTCACACTGTGCTCCCCCTCCAGGTGGCCCACCTCCGTGCCCATGTGCTCATCCACACCGGAGAGAAGCCGTACCCCTGTGAAATCTGTGGCACCCGCTTCAGGCACCTTCAGACTCTAAAGAGCCACCTGCGTATCCACACAGGAGAGAAACCTTACCATGTAGGTAAACCCTAGCTATGGCTGCTGGCTGGCCTGAGAGGGAGGGATGCGGAGCAGAAGGGCAGCAGAGGTCCCAGGTCTCAGTGTGTTCATCTTGGAATGGAGGCATTGGTCTCGGTGACCTGGGTCTTAGGAAAGGCGACGTAATTGGGCTATTCATTCCACAAATATTTTTCGAGTGTCTCCATCGTAGCTCTAGACTAGATATGTATTGAAGAGCATCTAAGATGTCAGAGCAGAGCCTAGTCAAAAAGTATCCAGAGAAATATGGCAAAGGAAAACACCAAAACCAGAACCAAAAATAAGCTTAGAAAACATTGTTTCAAGGCCGAGCTGACTGGAACGGGGTGGGGGGTGGGGGTTCTGCAGTTAAGAGTACCTGCGCTGTTCAGTTCCCAGCACTTGAGTTGGGTGGTTCATAGCAGCCTATAATTCTACTTGAGGAGATTCATTCCCCTCTCCTGGCCTCCCTGGGTCTCTGCACGCATATGGTGCAGATATAGATAATCATGCACACATGTACATAAAAATAAATGGAATTCAAAAAAAAGAGCAGGTGCCCTCATGCTTCGTTCCAAGTCAAGGACAGGCTGTTGGAATGAGCGTGTCCCAGAGCAGAGTCTCAGCAAACTACAGCCCACTGGCTAAGTTTTAAATGCTGTGTAGGTTAAAACTGGGATATTGTGAGTTTTGTGAAATTTAACTTCCGTAGGACCTAAATAATATATAATTGGAACAGAGCCACACTGATTTGCTTCCATAGCTTCTGAGATTGCTTTGGTGCTTTGATGCATCAGTGGCAGCGGGCTTTGAATGAGCATCTCTGTATTTCTATTTGTCTCTTGGCAAATTGGTTATTTTTACCCTAAGTGCCTTAGTTTCCTCATCTGTACATTGATCCAGAAAATAGTGCCTACTTCATGAACCGGCTGTATTTAGGTAACTAATTCATTCAGTGCTTCCAGTTACTCAAGCTCGTGGCCACGGCATGATCTGCTCCGATTTTAGTCACAGAGACAAGAACTGAGAGTGACATTTGGCACTGATTGCCCCAATCCCTTACTGAAGGGAAAGCTAAGGGCTTGGTAGATGCCACGGACAGGATGCAGGGCCATGGTGGCACAGCTGGCATGGACCCGTGCCGTTTGAAAACACATCTCCCAGACTCAAGAATCTCCATGAATTTAGGCCATCTAACCCAACTGTGCTGCTGTATTCAGACTGACGTCATCGTTTTCTGAGGGTGCATTCTGCTAGATCGTAGGGAGACTCCAAGGTTTGGGTGAGAAGTATGCACTTCAAAGTCTTAGCCACCTGATGAGAACGTGAACGCCGCACAAAGATGGCAGCGGGGCACGGCTGTAAACTCAAGATCTGAAAAGAGATGGATGTTTATCTTAGACTCAGAAATGGGTTACTCATTAGGGGAGTTTGCATCGGAATTGTGTCTTGGATAAGATTTGGAATCATGCAGTTAAGTCAGGGAAGGGCATCTCAAGCCTGGGAAACATGAGTGACCTGGAAGGGAAGGCAGGGACATTTGAGCAATGTATACTTAACCTCCTGTGGAAGCCAGGATTCAAATGGGTTCCCTTTTCGAGGGAGGAGCTGTCTCTACCCCACCCTCACAGAGACGGCCAGCTCTGGGTTTTTGAGAAAGGACTCATTTCTTGAAGTTGCTTGACAGCTAACGTTTTGCTTCTGGTGTCTCTCCAGTGTGAGAAGTGCAACCTACACTTCCGTCACAAAAGCCAACTGCGACTTCACCTGCGCCAGAAGCACGGCGCCATCACCAACACCAAGGTGCAATACCGCGTGTCGGCTGCTGACCTGCCTCCGGAGCTCCCCAAAGCCTGCTGAAGCATGGAGTGTTGACTCTTTTCTCCGTAGCCCTTTCTCAGAACCTCCCCAAAGGATGCTGTAACACTTTACAAAGGTCACCCCATGATGTAGTGCCTCTCTCATCCACTAGTGCAGATCATAGTTGGGGTGGGGGGTGGGGGTGGGGTTCGCGGGACCGGGAGCCAAGGCGGCTCCCCTTCCCACACTGCCATACGACATTAAGAAAATACTATTGCTTCTTCTCCTATGTGTAAGGCGAACAAACCATGTCAGCAAAAAGCAAACTCATCTTCTATATCAAAGTAGGGGAGAAGGCAAAAGTTCTGACGTGACAGGTTGCAACGCGAGGAATGTAAACGTTCTGTGGGAACAGAAATCTCTTTTGTATGTAAATGTGTATTGTTTTCAAAGACAAGACTTCAGTATGTTGTCAAAGAGAGGGCTTTAATTTTTTTAACCAAAGGTGAAGGAATATATGGCAGAGTTGTAAATATATAAATATATATATATAATATAAATATATAAACCTAAAAAGATATATTGAAAATATAGAACTGTGTTAAAGGCTCGATTTTGTATCTGCAGGCAGACACGGATCTGAGAATCTATTGAGAAAGAGCACTTCAGAGAATATTTTAAGTATTGCGTCTGTATAAGTAAGAAAATATTTTGTCTAAAATGCCTCAGTGTCTTTGTATTTTTTTGCAAGTGAAGGTTTACAATTTACAAAGTGTGTATTAAAAACAAAAAAAGAACAAAAAAAAGCTGCAGAAGGAGAAATGTATACTTTTGTTCTAGTTTTCAGTTTGTATATACCTGTAACGTGTCCTCACGGTGCCTTTTTTCACGGAAGTTTTCAATGGTGGGCGAGCGTTCGCCGTCCCTTTTTGAAGTGTAGGCAGACACAGGGACTTGAAGTTGTCACTAACTAAACTCTTTTTGGGAATGTCTGACTCCTCCCACATTCTGCGTCATGCTTGTCGTTATAATTACTCCGGAGACAGGGTTTGGCTGTGTCTAAACTGCATTATTGCGTTGTAAAATATAGCTGTACAAATATAAGAATAAAACGTTGAAAAGTCAAGTGAGATGTCTCTGAAGCTCTGTCTTTGCACGGAGATCCAAGCCGTCCAGTGGGAATCATTCTAGGAAGGGAGGGGCCGCTGGTCCGTGAGATGTTGAAGTGGGGCATTGCTTGAGGGTAGACTGTCCTGAGTCCTGGACCAGCAGCAGACCCCAGCCTGAAGGTCAGGGGGAGGATTTGAATCCCCTAACTCTGGGCTGTGCTCTGCGGCTTGCCCTTGCGCTTTAGACACAAACGTTTCATAGTCCCCCCTCCCCCCACTGCTCTGAGATCGGTGGTTATTCTTTTCTAAAATGAGAGGGCCCATCTTGGCCCTGGCTTCGTAAACAAGTTTCCTTCACTTGGCTACACAGGGCAGGTCAAAGGCTTAAGTCACACACTTCTCAGCCTCAGTGCATTTGAGGTCTCGTGGGTGACCAACAGACATTTATAGACTTCAGCGCTTCCTGATTGGCCAGAGGCCAAGCAAGCCTCTGCCCCTGGGCTGGAGCACAGCCACCTCTCCTGTGTGTTGGGTCACCATTTTCACCATGGCTCTCTGTGTCCCAGCTTATCCGAGAGGCGACTGGGTTAACTAGACCTTTTATGAATCCGTGATTCAGATGTCAGTTCACACTGGCCTGCTTTGGCATCCATTTTTATTTTACCTCAGAAAACCCCGAGGACCAAGTTTGATTGGCAGGATCTGAGAACTGGGAAGACAAGTGTGGTTCTGGTAATGGGCCCAGAAGAGAAAGCCGGCATCCCCTTCCTGTTCCTGGGTGGCAGTGGAGAGGGGACATGTGCCCACTGATCAGCTCTTGGCAGTGACTTTGCAGCAGGCTCTGAGCACGTGTTGGAACCTGGAGGAGCTGACCACCCAAAGCCCCAGAGAGAGCTTCAGAAAGTCACGCCACCCTCTGCCAACCGCACGGCCTTGCAGCTCAGGTTTCCTTTGAAAATGACTTTAAAGGACTTGCCAGCTCAAGGCCTCGACTCACCCTGTTCTTTGGAAAGGGAGAAAATGATCCCTCGGCTCCCATAGAAACCTGGCAGAAGAACTTAGGGAATAGACAGCTTCAGGAATGACAATTCACAGGCCTGAGGGAGGCTGGCCCCAGGCTCCTTTCGCTCCTGAGAGTCTGTTTTTGTATCATTACTATTTATGAGGGAGACTGAGAAGCAGACAGGGAGGGCGGTGTTCCGACAAAAGGGAGATCAAAGACGGAGCTGCTACAGCCAGCTGACGATTAATAATAAGTAAAACAAAAACATCTCTAAACAGAGTTATTAAGAATACAGCCCGGAGCAAAGGGGAGAGAGAATTTTATTACAAACGCATGGGGCGAATCCATTTTCATATTTTAAAAAAAAGTTCTCAAAAACCAGGCTATAATTGATATTCTTCATATCATGGAAGGGTTTAGGGGCAAAGGTTTGTTAAGACCTCAAGTTGAGGTGTGTACTGAGGTAGGTGTATTAGCTTTTGTTGTAGTTTGCTTTCCATTGCTGTAATAAAACACTGACCAAAAGCAATTTGGGGCGGAAAGGGTTTATCGGGCTTACACATCCTGATCACAGTCTACTATGAAGGAAGCCAGGACTGGAACTCAAGGCAGGAACCTAGAGGCAGAAAGCATGGAGGAACACCGCTTATTGGCTTGTTCTCTGTGGCTTGCTCAGTTTTCTGTCCGATGCCACCCTAGCCCATCTGCCCAGGACACTTGCACAGCGACACCAATCAGGAGAATGTCCCCAGAAACTTGTCCGCAGGCCAGTCTGAGGGCAGCATGTCTCAGTTGAGGTTCCTACTTCCAGATGACCCTGGCAAGAGTGGAATGGACAACTGGGCAACCCAGACTTCTTGCCACTGTAGCAGAATGCTCAACACGGCAAGGAAGTGTTGACATCTTTCAGCTCACAGCTCAGATAAACATCTGTCCATGGCCCTTGCTTCTGCTAACTCTGGGCCTGCGGTGAGACAGGGTATCATGGCAGATAGGAAGCAAAGAGAGAGAGAAGGACAAGACACAGTTCCAAGGGCATGCTCTGGAATGACCTATTTTCTCCAGCTAGGCCTCAACTTCTAAAGTTTCCAGAACCTTCTAAAATAGTGTGGCCAGCTGAGGATAAGCCTTTAAAACTATCGCTTTTGGTGGGGCTGGGGGCTTGACTGTACATCCAAGTCACAACAGTAGACCTATGGACGTGACTGAGTAGACACAGGCACAGCTGTTCAGGAGTAGGACGACATGTAGTAGAGACAACCCTCTAATTCAAGTGTCTCCTGTGACCCACTAGGGGACTGCGGGAAACAGGTTGACTGCCATCTAGTGTCTGGACAAGTACCTAGACCAGACTCCTCCTTACCCCAGCCCTTGGAAAGAACAGGTGCGTGTTCTGATTTAGTAATGACGACATGGCAGGTCCGAGGTCACGCGGCTAAGTGTCCAGCTTGCCTGAGTTCCCACACCCAGCTATTTGTAGAACTTCAAGTTCCGTCCATGGTTAGGACTCAGGCATCTCGTTTTCATTTCTTTGCATCCCTCGCAGCAGTAATTAATAAGAAACCATCTCATGTTCTCCCAGAGGCACGCTCAGGAAAACAAGTGGGGAAGAAAACCAGGAAAGAGCTGACCCCCTTTCTTGTGGCTTGTCAGGCCACGTCAATGGCAGAACCACAAAGCGAGGCTCTCAAAGCAAGCTGATCTTCCAATACAGAGTCCTCTGGAGCTTGCTCTTATTTGGAGTTTCCTGGACTTACGTTTCTATGAGACCGGCTATTTCTTTTAGTATTATTATTATTTTATTACTTAAAAAAACAATCCAAATTCCCACTTTCTCCCCTTTTCCAACTTCCCTCCCACTCCCTCCACACACCCTAACCCTACCACATCCAATCTTAAGAGAAGGCAAGGCACCCTACCCTGTGGGAAGTCCAAGTCCCTCCCCACTACATCCTGGTTGAACAAGGTATACATCCAACGAGAACGGGATCCCAAAAAGCCAGTACATGCAGTAGAGACAAATCCCAGTGTCATTGTCATTAGCCCCTCAGTCTGCCACAACTGTCAACCACATTCAGAGAGACTAGCTTGATCCCATGTTCATTCACTCCCAGTCCAGTTGGAGTTGATGAGCTCCCATTAGTTCAGGCAAACTGTCTCAGTGGATAAACTCCTCACAGTCTTGACTTCCTTGCTCATAGTCTCCCTCCTTCTGCTTTTCAGCTTGACCTTGGGAGCTCAGTCCAGTGCTCCGATGTGGGTCTCTGTTTCCATCTATTGTTAGACGAATGTTCTATGGTGATATTTAAGATAATCATCAGTCTAACTACAGGGCTAGGCCAGTTCAGACACCCTCTCCTCTATTGCTTAGGGTCTTAGCTAGGGTCATCCTTGTGGATTCCTGAGAATTTTTCTAGAGCCAGGTTTCTTGTTAACCCCAAAATGACTCCCTCAATCAAGATATCTCTTTCCTCGCTCTCATCTCTGTCCTTCCTCCATCTCAATTATCCCATTCCCTCAAGCTCTCCCCAACCCACCCCTTCCTCCCTCTTCTTCCCCTTCTTCCTTTCCTTCTGCCCCCACCCCATGCTCCCAAATTGTCAGAGCCTGGCTATTTCTCACAACTGTTTATAATAGGGTACCTGTGTCCAGTACCTTCTCTTTACATGATCTAGTCTCTGCAGGTTCCTATCTCCAGACTTGTGCTCCAAACCAGAGCACAGTTTATGCTGGCAGCAAGACTTCATAGATATTTTATATTTCATGTTCAATATATCTTTGGGTTTTAAGCTGTTTATTTACCAAGTTCTTATTGATATAAGTACTTTAAATATACCAAAAGGACATTTACTAGTTTCTGAAGTAGCAAAGGAGAAACTATCTACAGTCAACCTACTAAATGAGATGACTGAAAACTGTTCAGTAGTAACACTGCTCCCCCTTTTGGCTAGAGGCGAGTGTGAGACTGTTAAGTAATGAAACATTTTGCAGTGCTTCCTCAAATGTGGCAAAGGAAAAATACATTCATTCATAATAACTTGATCATTTTGTGTTACCCACTGTAAGGAACAATAACCCGAGGGGCTGGAGAGACTGCTCGGCAGAGAAAGCTTTCTGTGGCTTCAGAAGACCTGAGTTCAGTTCCCAGCATCCACATCAGGTAGCTCACACCTGTTTGTCAATGCTGCTCTGGGGGTAAAAAAAAAAGAAAGAAAGAAAGAAAGAAAGAAAGAAAGAAAGAAAGAAAGAAAGAAAGACAGACAAAGAAAAGAAATAATACCCTGAAAGATAAAGAAACTGCCTAGGCCCATTTGATAGGCCAACCCTTAGGTAGGCAGAGAAAACAGAACAGGATGCTGGGAGAAAGAAGCTGAGTCAGGAGTTGCTATGATTCTCCCACTCCAGACAGACGCAGGTTAAGATCTTTCCGGGTAAGCCAGCTCGTGGGCTACACAGATTATTAGAAATGGGTTAGATTAATATGTAAGAGCTAGCCAATAAGAGGTTACAGATAACGGGCCAAGCAGTGTTTAAAAGAATACAGTTTCCGTGTAATTATTTCTGGGCATAAGCTAGCCATGTGGGCGGCCGGGTGCCGGGGACGCAGCCCCGCCACTCTTATCACTACATATGTGGATGGAGGCCATATGGTTTATCTCAGGTCTCTTCAGTCTTTTTCCATGTTATTTATTGAGGCGAGGCCTCTGACTTAAACCCAGAACTCCCTGATTTGGCCACTCTACCTAGCCAGTTGGCCCTAAGGACCCCCTGTCTCCATCTTCAAAGTGCCAGGGTTCCAGGCAGCTGCTAAGGCAACCCAACGTTTCTGTGGTTGCTGGAGATCTGAGCTCAGCTTGCCACACTCCCACGCCAAGTGCTTTACCAATGGAGCGACCCCTTGGCTGCATGTTTAACTTTCTTAATGGTGGCTGGCATGTGCTGCATTCCTCACAAAAACATACAAACCTTGGTCTACCCAAAGTACTGTGACCAATGGGAAAGACCAAGTTCCTTCAATCCCCAATGAAGAGAAAGGGGGTTAGGGTACCCAGCACAACCAATGAGGTGATCAGGGTATTTTTATCACAAGTGGAGAATGCTTCAGTGGGCACTGAGAAAGGAGAGTTCTAGGAAGAGGAAGGACAAGACAGAAAGAACTTGGAGTCTAGGAAGGGCATGTGGATGCTTAGAGGACCACTGTTCCTCCCATCTTTGGTGGTCCACCTCCCTAGGTGAATAGTTGCTTAGCACGCTTAACAAATGAATCAAGACACCCTTACTTCTGTTTTGAAGATAGACATAGCCAGGCCCTCACTACAAACCCAAGTTGTCTTTGAACTTTAGGGACAGGGTGATAAGTGTGAGCCACCATACAAAGCTTCTCTTTTGCTTTTATATCTTAAGCAGCCAGGCTGGTTAAGTACCAAGCATGCAAGGAGTGAGAATCATTGACGATTGTAACTGAGGCACTTTAGGGATTGTAATGATTTCACATAGTCAAGGAAACCAGGCCCAGAAACGAAAGACATCAAGGTCACAACAAGAATTCTGATCAGGAAGATCACTTTTCTCCTGAGTTAGGTTTCTAGCATGAGAAATGCAATCTCCATCACAGCGCGCTATCACCTTATTCTGCTAGCATGGTTGCTATCAAAATGGCAAGAAGTGCTAATTACTGTCACGTGAGCGGCAAAAGGGGAACTCTCCATGCGATTCTTGGTAATGTAAATTAATATAGCCATTATGGAAAGCAGTATGGCAGTTCCTCAAAAATTAGAAATGTCACTATCAGATGAACCAGCAATCTGACTGCTGGTTATGCACATTCAAAGGAAATGAAATCATAAACCAGCACCCAATATTCGCTGCAGCGTGAGTCACAGTCACCAAGGAGTGGGGATGGCCTAGTATCAACACGTGCATGAACGGATAAAGAAAATGTGGTTTGTAAAGGAAGGGATCTATTATTTGTAGTTGAATGGCTTCAGCATAAACCAGAGATCACTGTTAGGAAAAGAGAAAGTATGGCCAATAGGCACAGGGCAGGCAGGAGGAATGGTTTGTGATGTATTACATAGATAATAGCAATTATTAACACTCATAGGAGATATTTAAAAATTGGGTAAAAGAAAGGACATTGGATGCTTTTACCATGAAGAAGTGATTAATAAAGTGAGGGCTATGCAGATCTGATTATTACAAACCTATGTGGACCAATGCACACATATGCCAATACATGTGCAGAATTATCATATGCCAATTAAACATACAAGAAAAAAATAAAATGCCGAAGAAAACCCACAATAAAAAAAAGACACATCAGCCACGTTGCATTAATGCCTATGAATCTTAATGATGGTGTATTGGTTAATATTGATTGTCAACTAGACAGGATTTAGACTACTCTAGGAGACTAACCTCTGGGTGTGTCTGTGAGGGAGTTCTGAGATTGTGTTTATGGAGCTGACCTCCATGAGGAGGAAGACCTACCGTCATGGCCTAAGTGTGATGTCACCATTCCATGATCTGTGGTCTGAGACTGAACAAAAAGAGCTGGAGCTGGGATGTAGCTCAGAGACAGAACTCTTACTTAGTACATGAATAAGGCCTGGATTTTGTCCCTACCAATACCACACACACACACACACACACACACACACACACACACACACACACTGAAACAAAAGAGAAGAGAAAGTTCACTGTCCACTGGGCACCAAGGCTCATATATCCTTGTATACTAACTGTGGATACAATATGATTAGACTAGACACCTCACCTTCCTGCCGCTATCCCTTCCCCACCATTCTAGATTGTATTCCCTTGGACTGTAATCTTAAACTCTTTTTTAAAGATTTATTTATTTATTTATTTGTTTGTTTGTTTGTTTATTACAGATGCAGTGTTCAGCCTGCAGGCCAGAAAAGGGCATAAGATATCTTTATAGATGGTTGTGAACTGCTTTGTGGTTACTGGGAATTGAACTAAGGACCTCTGGAAGAACAGGCAGTGTTCTTAACCACTGAGCCATCTCTCCAGTCCCTGAAATAAACCCTTGTCTCTTAAAGTTTTTTCTTGTTGGGCATTGGGTCGCAGCAAAGAGGACAGTAACTACTATAGAATATTGTTGACCAGAAAAGTGGTCCTTCAATTGCCGTGACTGAGATAAACCTGACCATATGGTCACTGAGCCTTTGGAACTGGTTTATGGGAGGAATGCGGCAATGTTTGAAACTGTGGCTTAGAGAAGCCCTAGATGCTATGAGCAGAACTTAACAGGCCACCCTGTGGGAGACGATTAGACCAGAATGCTGAGAGGCATGGTGACAGTGCTGGTCCCGCTCACGAGGTTCTAGGGAGGAGCACAGTGTCTATCAGGAACTGGGGTAGAGGCCATCCGTGTGATATCCTGGCGGAGTCTGACTTTATTTTGTTCTGAGAATGTGAACAAGGCCCAATTAAGAAGCAATGGACTAATCTTTTTGATGGAGAAAAATCTGGAGATAGGATGGTATACAAGCTACAGCTTGCTGCTCTGATCCAGGTCTGCAGTGAGCAAGAGCAATAATGGAGCCAGTGCATATGAGAATGGATTGCTTGATGGGGGAAGAGGAGAGTTTAAAAGTCTAGGTAAGGTGGGTGCTGAGAAAATGGCTGGAATTGTTAAAGAGACCAGAAACACCAAAGAGAAATCTCCTGTGCTGCGATGGGTTATTGGTAAAAATAATATCCCAAGGGCGAGAGCCCACCAATCACAAGCTCCTTCCTGTGAAAGTGCAAATATCATTTGGAAGATGAGAGTCTGAACAAGAATGCTACATAAAAGTTTCTTGCTCAAAGTGACCACCCAGGAGGGCATTTTCACAGATTCGTCCATCAAGGCACACAGAGGCCACCACAACTCTATTCAAGGGGACAAGGAGCCATTCTTTTTGCAGTAGAACTTGGCAGCATACTCTACTTGACTGTGAATTTGCAGGTGGGAAAGACGAAAGAGTAAAAGAAAAATGCAGGCTTGCACCAAGGTCTCTAAAAGTCAGTCAGGGCAGGCAATGTGTGGCCAGGAGACCCAAGAGACCACTGCGCAACACTGGGGAGAAGAAGCTCCTAAAGTTGCAATGGAGCCCGTAGAATGATGGAGATGCCAGGACCACAGGTCTCCTGCTAAGGGAAGGTGCAGACCTAGAGTGGATTCCAGAGTCTCTCTCTGTCTCTCTCTGTCTCTCTCTCTCTCTCTGGTGTGTGTGTGTGTGTGTGTGTGTGTGTGTGTGTGTGTGTGTGTGTGTGTGTGTGTGTGTGTTATAGGAGGCAGAGCTGTAGGTGCAGGGCTATTCATCTCTTTGCTGCCCGGATGAAGATAACAAACTCTAGATACTGAACTCAGAGCTTCATGTTTGCACTGAAAGTCTTGGTCTGATCGCTCTTTGTTATGTCGCTATTTCTCCATTTTGAAACGGGAATGCTGACTTGGTATTATTATGTATTAAAACTAAATAGTTGTATTTTCTTTTCCTTTTCCCATTGTATCTCTTTATTATTATTTTATTACTTTAAGAGAATACCAATCCATATTCCCACTCCCTCTCCTCCTTTCACTCCCTTCACACACCCTCCCACCCTCTCCCCTCCAATCCTAAGAGAGGACAAGGTACCCTGCCCTGTGGCAAGTCCAAGGCCCTCCCTACTACATCTATGTTGAGCAAGGTATACATCCAAAGAGAATAAGATTTCAAAAAAGCCAGTACATGCAGTAGAGACAAATCCCGGTGTCACTGTCAGTGGCCCCTCAGTCTGCCCCAAACTGTCAAACCACATTCAGGGGGACTAGTTTGATCCCATGCTCATTCATTCCCAGTCCAGTTGGAGTTGGTGAGCTACCATTAGCTCAGGCAAACTGTCTCAGTGGGTAAACTCCTCATGGTCTTGACCTCCTTGCTCATATTCTCACTTCTTCCACTCTTCAACTGTACCTTGGGAGCTCGTCCAGTGCTCGGATATGGTTCTCTGCCTCTGTTTCCATCTGTTGTGGGGTGAAGGTTCTATGGTGATATTTAAGATAATCATCAGTCTGACTACAGGGCAAGGAAAGTTTAGACACCATCGCCTCTATTGCTTAGGGACTTAGTTGGGGTCATCCCTGTGGATTCCTGGGCATTTTTCTAGAGCCAGATTTCTTGCTAGCCCCATAATGGCTCCCTCAATCAAGATATCTCTTTCCTTGCTCTCATATCTGTTCTTCCTCCATCTCAACTATCCCATTCCCTCAAGTTCTCCTCAACCCTCCCCTTCTCCCCTTCCTTCTACCCCCTCACCCCCATGCTCCCAATTTTGTCAGGTGATCTTGTCTGTTTCCATATCCCAGGGGGATCTATACATGTTTTTTTTTTAATTTTGTAGGTATGTATGGGATGAACAGATGGTTCAGCCATTAAAGGCTAGGCTCACAACGAAAACTATAGGAGTTTACAGATAAAGGATTGTCTTGACTCTCAGAAGAAACTCAGGCTTTGGACTTTTAAACAGTGTTGTAACTGCTAAAGGCAATGGGGACTTTCAAAGTTGGACCGGACACATTTTGCACTATGAAATGGCCCCGAGCCTATAGGGACAAGAAGCAGAAGGCTATGGCTTAAACATGATGTGTTTGGGTGTCAAGTTGACAAGGGGTGGACTTGAAATAGTTAATATTGACTATCAAGTTGAGTGGATCTGGAATCACTGAGAGACGAATTTCTTCTAGGCATGCCTAGGAGGGATTAGCTAAAATTAGGTTAATCGAGATGGGAAGCCACTCCCTCTCAAATTCATAACCTCTTTTTTAAATCATTCTTCATATATGTTTACATACACAAATAAACGCATAAACACAGTATACTGAGCCCTTTCAGTGCCGCTAGTGTGTGTGTTTTGGGGACTGGTCACTGGAACCAACTGGGAACTCACCCTAAATTGGTTTTCCCTCTCTCAGCAACTCTTGGCTGCCCATTTTGAGACTATTTTACCTGTGCAACCTGAAATTAGCCACGAGGTGGCAGGGTAGGACAAGAAGAGGCAGTTTAAGTCAAGCCCGCCCCCAGGCCCACCCCGCACCCCCCAAGAAGGTGTAAATTGGGTCAGGCTGGCTTTCGGAGCCCCTCCCATAGGAGCCCTTCTCTCTTCCTTTAATCCCTTTCAACTCAAGTGCTTAGTGGCTTATGAGGTGATTTGAGGGCCTACTTGAGAGCGTAAATTTCCACTCCGGCATTCCTTTTTGAATTGTAGGTTTCTAGTTTTCCTTGAACACCAAGGAAATCGGAAGTCCTGCTCCAATTTTCAGTCAAATGAGGCCAATCTCTGTGAGAGCCCTCCAAGTCCTTCAAATAATACTGCCAATGAACATTGTGCACTTCTAGGTCAGAAAAGTCTCGAACCCAAGAGCTTTGATCCTCACCACCATTTTACCTGTTAAACAAAAGCAAAATAAGAAAACCCCACCTTAATTGACAAGCAAATGGTGAGAATGAGCTAAGAACGTTGGGCTGGTAAGTGGCCAGGCTGGAGCCCTGGTGGCAGAGCCACTCCTTAGAACTTCATCCCCTTGTCTCTGCACGGTCCAGTGCATGGCTGTTCCATTGCATAACATCGTTCGAGAGGAGAATTAAGTTTTCAGGGTTGGAAGGTTTGGTGGGAGTGATATTGCCTGTTCTGGGTGGATTTAGAGAGGAAGCCACCGGGAACACCCAGACTTTGCTACCAAGACTGTGGAATGGGCACACCCCTACTCTCACTGTTACCCTTCAGTGACCGGCAGAAGTGCACCCAAACATTGTTCGGGTCATGCCCTGAGACTCAGTGACTGTGGAGGCTTATTGAATCTCTGTGGAGCAGGCCCCCACCACAATGAGATCAGACAAACAGCCCTGGCTCAAGATCCCATGCCAGTGTTGAGCAGCCTTCAGCCTTGGTGGGAAAGCTGATAGTCCCCAGGCTCGGGATTCTAGCTGCAACTGAAAAGACCATAGCGGTGATTTCCGGGACAACCCCCTACCCCTAAATACTCACTGTCTTAGCTTCTCTCTCTGTTGCTGTAATGAAAGACTCTACAGAAGAAGCTTAAGGGACAAGGAACTTGTTCTGTCTCACACTTGCAGGGTACAGTTCCTGTGGCAAGAACAGGAAATAACCTGTAACACTGCATCCATAATTAGGACGCAGAGAAGGATGTATGAATTCATGCTACTAGAGAATGGTGCCACTTCCTGTGTGTGTGGTGTGCATGTGGTTTATTTGTGGTATGTGTATGATATGTGTTGTGTGTGGTGTGTGTGTATGGTGAGTGTATAATGTGTGTGTTTTTTGTGTGTGGTGTTTTGATGTGTATGTTGGGTGTGTGGTCTGTATGCATGTGTGGTATATGTGTGTGTGTGTAATGGCTCTCCTTACCACAATTAATGAAATGAAGATCACCCCCCACCCCACAGGCACACCAGGGGTCCATCTCCCAGGTGACTCTAGAGCCCATAAAGCCGACAACTCTTCCTCAGTGCCTCTGACTTCTCCAGTCTAAGAGAGTGGGGGAGGAGACAGGAGGTGCATGCTCACTGGAATGTTTGGGAATGTCAGCCACTCACGGAAGCCACAGATTTCCATCTCCTTAGCCTACTGTTCCCAGTGTTCCTCGCCTGCTCAGTTACCCAGGACTTGAGTGACTCGTCATGCCACTGAAACTCAAGGAGCTTGCAAACGACACTAGCAAGCCACACTGAGTTATTTCATAGTTCACAACTCAAAATCCTGGAGAGGTGGCAGTTTGCAACCCTATTGAGATAGATAGATTTTTCCCCCAAAAATGAGCCTCTAAATATTTTTTTTGTTTTATTTTTTTGGGGGGGGAGGGAGAAGAGGGTTTCTCTGTATAAAATCCCTGGTTGCCCTGGAACTCATTTGTAGAGCAAACTGGCCTCTAACTCTCAGAGATCTGCCTGTCTCTCTAGTGCTGGGGTTAAAGGTATGTACCACCACTGTCCAGCATCTTTTACTCTAAAATTAATATTTATGAATGCTGAAAAAACAACTAAGACATAGATAATAGTAAAGAAGATTTATGGAACACTCAGAATGTACCAGGATCATTTAAATAACTTTTAAAACCTAAAATTAAACCAGACGATAGTGGCGCATGCCTTTAATCTCAGTACTCGGGAGGCAGAGGCAGAACTCTGTGAGTTCGAGGCCAGCTTGGTCTACAAAGTGAGTTCAAGAACAGTCAGAACTAAACAGTGAAACCCTGTCTCAAAACAAACAAACAAAAAGTCCTGGAATTAAGCCCCGGCTACTCAGATCAGGATGGCTCTGGCAACAGCATGGCCCCTGGACACCAACAAGACAACAGTTGCGGCCCAGACCCAGGGTTCATGTGGCCTTAGGTGGCACCATGGGATGTGAGCATCAACATAGGCTGCAGTAGGACCACAAGCCCAGACATAGTCCTCGGCAGCACACTGCCACCACTGTCTCAGGTAGCAGCAAAGGCTGCCCAGATGGGTAAGGCCCAGTGGCAGTGTGGATCATGGGCCCAAACACGGCCCCAGGAGGCAGTCCAGCCCACTGGAATGAGCACACCGCTTTATGGCAACAGGAATCATGGACATTAACACAGACCCTGGCTACTGTAAGACCAGGTACCCAGATACGGCCATGGGCAGCTGCAGCCCTGCCTGGTTGTCACCATGGACCCTGGTGTCTACTCCTCACTGACCTCACCAAGGTTGCAGGTATCAAACAGGCCTCCCACATCTGCCCACTCCTCGCTGTCTTCATTTTCTTCTTCCTGCATCTTTCCAGAGTGCATGGACCATTCTCCTTCTCTTTCTCTCCCATTTTTTCACCACATATTTCCTTATTATATAATAAGGCCTGCCAGGCCAGGCCTTGAGGACCCTGGCTGGCCTGACTCCATCTGAGTGGCTAGGCATTAGGCAGGGGTGGCTGTCTTCCCTGATATGATGTCTTATAAAAATAAAATTAATTCTGCCATTAAAGATTTTGAATGTCAATATATTTTTGAATTGTTTGAAGTTTTACGGTGGCCAAGGAAGCTCCATGTTGAAATGTACACAGGTGGTGAGCATGTGATTTGGCTCCAAATTCTAGAACGAACAGACCCTCGGTGACCTCTAGAACATTATCCTACCTCTGTGAGCCTCAATTCTCTCATATGTAAAGTAGAGAACGCCATTACAACACAGTGCCTCAAAGGGCTCACGTATGTCAGATGAAGTGATGTATGCTCACTTAGAACTCATGGTACGTGGGCGGCATGGCATCGTTATTAACATTTATCCTATATAAACTTATATAGGGTATAACTTATATCCCCTGTCCATGTGAGTACTCGCATGAGGAGAGGGTCTATTGTTTCCTTGTCTGGTGTCCAGTGACTCCCGTTTCTTCCATCATACAAAGTCTGTTGGAAGAATGACCCGGATTCCCTGGCCGCGAACTGCAGCTATCTAGGCCTTCTCTCTCTAGTTTCCACCATTAGGGACCATGTGGACATGGAAGCCATTCCTGATTGAGCCTTAGAGTTCCCTCGGCCACTTGGGCATTTCTTACTTGCCTTTCAGGGCACCTTGTAGATAGATTAAGTAATTGTGGTGGCTCTTGCCCTTGGCGGTTCTTAGTTTACACTCACCACATTGACTCTGTCTTCTAACTTGGTTTCAAGATTCTAATTTCCCTTATATCCATGATAAATCTGCTTCAATATTGCCCTGGTCAAGGTTGGAGAGATGACTCAGCAGTTAAGAGCACTTATTCTCCTTCAGGGGACCTGGGTTTGGTTTCCAGACCCATAAGGTGATTCACAATGATTTATAACAGTAGTTTCAGGGGAATCCAGTGCTGGCTTCTGGCCTGTATGAGTACCAGACACACAGGTGGTACACATAAGTACATGAAATACATGTAGGCAAATACACACACACACACACCATATAAAATATAAACAAATAAAATTTAAAAGATTGTCCCGTTCTTTGTCTGTATCATTCTTTTCTAAATGTAGTTAAGGCAGCAATTTGGTTGAGGTACCTTATAGGTTTCTGTCTTAGTCTGAGGCTGTAACAGAGTGCCAGAGGCTGGGTAGCTTATAAACAATACAAATTATTTTATCTCATAGTTCTAGGAAGTCCCAGGCTCAACACTGTATCTGCAAAGAACCTTTCTTCTACCTCATCCCAATGTGCAAGGCAGAAGATCAAGGACAGTGAAAGCCAGAATGCAAGAGGAAGCAGAATTTGATGTCTTGCTTTATTTGAGGTAAAGTCTCACTATGCAGATCAGGCTGGCCTTGAACTCAATGATCCTTCTGCCTTTCTGAGTGCCGGAACTGCAAACACATGCCACCATGATCAGATGAATTTCGTGTGTGTGTGTGTGTGTATGTGTGTGTGTATGTGTGCGTGCGCGCGTGTGCGCAGGCACAACTGCAGTGACCACGGAGGCCAGAAAGAGATACAGCATCTCCTGGGTCTGGACTTAAAGGCTGTGGTGATTACCTGATGTGGATGCTGGGAATTGAATTCTCATCCTCTGCAAGAGCAGAGCATCCTCTTAACCATTGAGCCATCTCTCCAGTCATCTCACTTTTAAAACAAGGTTACTCTCATGGTAACAAAACTATTTATCTGCTCACATAAGATTAGTCCTGTCAAGAGAGCAAAGACAGATGGCCACCTACTCATCTCTGATTAAGACTCACCTCCCAACGTTCTTCTACTGTGGAGTAATTTTCTAAGACACAGCTTTTGAGGGACAGGTTCAAGTCATAGCATGTTTCTAGTCTGCATGTGCTCCACTAGGGACTAGGCCACAAAAACTTGTAAAGTATCACTAAGAAATTCAATATTTGATTCTGGCAAGTAATTTTAATTCCTTTCCAATGTAAACACTGTCAATTATTTCTCCATTTCCTTGTAATACCTAATGTTGCAAGTCTTAACTAGGAATGAAAAAAGAACATTCCACGGAATTAGGCTGGACAGTGGAGTGGGGTGTGTGCTAAAGCCATCTTTTCCAGGGGATCCTGGAGTTTCAAGGAATTAGACCAGAAATCAGAGTGAATGTGTCAAGGAAACATGGTGAACACCAGCAAGGACAGAAAGCCAGAAGTATCAATGTACTTAGGTAGCCTGTTAGCAAAAGGCGGATGTGATCATGTGGTTGAGAATTAAATCAATTCAGAGACTATGCATCACCTTAAAATAACAACTTAACTCTTGAGTGTAAAAAAAGAAATGGCATCCTATATGTCTTGGAGGTTTTGGTTTTGACTGTTCTTCTGTTTTAACCCAGCATACTAAATGGTATGGAATTTTACAAATGGTTCTAGATTTTTTCACATGCACCTTTCTGCTCAGTATGAAGGGATTTCTGCTAGAGTCCAGCCTCAGCTTGGGTTCAGGTCCTGAGATGGGAAAGGGTAGTTGGTGCAAGGAAAACTTTGGACTACCAGGTGGATGACACTTAAGTGGCCCCTCATAGATGGAGCCAGCCTGAGTAGCTCTAGCTATCTTTATTTGTATTTAAAAAGGTTTTCTTACCAGGGTTATGTGCACAGCTTTATTATTGGCTATTTTTGACTTTTAAGGAATACATCATTTTTAAGAAGTACATTGTAATCATTATGAGAGCCCCCATTGCTCCCCTTTATGCTTCCCCAAGTACACTTTCCCACCTGCTACGTAACCTTATTCTAGACGTAGAGTTCAGCATTTTTTCAGGCTTAACTCTGAAGTCAGACACACCCTGCTCTTGCAGCGCTTATGCCAGTAAGCAGCTACTCTCAGTTACAAAGTTAAAAAGTAACAGGCATGGGTATAAGGCTATAAGAATAATGAAATTCAAACCCAAACAATTCTTTCATGTCTGCAACTTATGCTTTCATATGCAGGCAGGTCTATTGTCACAACTTTCTGGGTTCACATCTGGATAAAGCTGATGGTTATTCTTCCCTGGTAGGATGCAAAGGCCCTTCCAGTTTTGAGAAAGCTAGCTAGTAGGGATGAAACTTCCAGGGATGCCCCCAGGTTGATTTCATCATGTTCTAGAACTCGGTGTGTGGTATCATCAGTAATAGGGTCTTGCTGTTGTGTTCTGGAGGGTCCAATAGCATTGCCAATAACCGATGATGTTTGGGAGTCGGTGGGACCTCATTGACCAACAACTCTCTCTCTCTGTCGCTCTGTCTCTCTGTCTCTCTGTCTCTCTCTCTCTGTGTGTGTGTGTGTGTGTGTGTGTGTTAGAAAGCTTATACAGTAGTAGGTCTCCATATTACTTTTTAAAAACGTCTTTAGCAATAGGTTGTCCTTACCCCTACCTCCTCATCTATCATGCCCTCCCATCCCTCTCTACATTAAATCCTTCTTGTACTATTATTATTCCCTTTAACCCTTTGTATTACTGTCTTCTATCTACCCTCTCTCTAAATCTCCCAGCCGTGGACCCTCACTAATTTTCTGACCTCTGTGGGTATTCCAAATGGAACATTTGTGGTTTAAAGGCATTGGTGATTACCTCTAAGTCACCAATAATGCATCCGTGTTTCATTAAGGAAAGAAATGAAAGCACTCCCCCTGGAGTCATTCGACCAAGAACAAGTCCGGCTTTGAATTCTCTCCACCTGCATCTTCCATCTTCTGACTGTTGCGTGAGTCCCCGTCTGCAACTGCCTGGAAAAGGCTGTCGTGTAAATTTGTCTGTCTATGCATCTGTGCCTGTCCCTGTATGTGGAACTGTGTCTTCTGTCTGTGTGTTTCTTTCCCTAACAAAGAACTTCATTCTGTCTTTATTGAACAGGCTAGAAAGCATCACATGGGGAAGAAATAAGGGGTAGGTTACAGAAATCTTTAACAGAGTTTTCCAAGGCTGGAGTAACTGGTTGCAATTGATCCCAACTGAACCCAACTACAAGCATCATCATTTACCAAGCAATATCCATAAATGGTTGCTTTTAACTTCTGTATTTGCTGCTTTCAGCAAAAGATACATGTGCATTGCTTATGTCGGGGGCATAGAAGAGCACGCTACTTGAGATTACAGCTGTGTATTAGCTTAGGTTGCAGAAGTTGATTACATGGGAAATCCAAGGCAAATAAGGTTGGTTATTACATAGTGCTTTTAAAAAACAGATTACTTTCTGTCTCCAGATGGTGCTGGGAAGCCAAGCTGTCACCCAGATATTAGGGGGTTGCTTCTGCTCTCTTGACAAGGTGTCATGGTCCTTGCAATGGCCTTTGAACTGAGCCTCATTATGTGCTCTTGTCTTGGTTAGGGTTTCTGTTGCTGTGATGAAACACTGTGACCAAAAGAAACTTGGAAAGGAAAGGAATTATTTCACTCACATTCCATGTAACAGTTCATCATCAAAAGCAGCGAGGGGAGGAACTCAAGCAGGGCGGGATCCTGGAGGCAGGAGTTGATGCAGAGGCCTTTGAAGGTTGCTTAGTCCTTATTACTTGCTCAGCCTGCTTTCTTTTAGACCCTAGTACCACCATGCCAGGGATGGCACCATCCACAATTGACTGGCTGTCCCCCACCAGTCACTAATTAAGAAAATGTCCCACAGGCCTAATCTTATTGGGTCATTTCTCAGTTAAGGTTCCCTCTCAGATGACTTTAGCTTGTGTCAGGTTGACATAAAACCAACCAGCACAACTTGACACACAAACATCACTTTTCAATTAGAGGCCTTCCTTTGTCTTTTATCCTCAGTATGACACATTAATATTCATATCACAATATAAAATATAAATAACTTCTAAAATGTAAGTCTTTATAAATTCAAACACATTATAAGTTCAGTTAGAAAATTCTAAATCTCTTCTAAAAGTTCCAAGTATCTCCACTGTGGGCGCCTATAAAAATCAAAACTAAACAAAATGCTTTCTTAATTCAAGAGGAAAGAACCAGGGCACAGCTACAATCTTTAAAAACAGCAAAACCCTACTTCAGCAGTATAAATAGCTCAATGTTCACTCTCTGGGATTCACTCACAATCTTCCGGGCTCCTCCAAGGGGCTCAGGTCACTTCTCTAGCTCCACCCCCTACAACACGCACAGTTTGTCTTCCAGGATCCAGGTGGCTCCACTCCACTGCTGCTGCTGTTCTTGGTGGTCATCCCATAGTTCTCCAAAATGCTGGGGTCTTCTGCAACTGGGCTGTACTTTCACCAATAGCCTCTCCTAGGCTCTCTTCACAGTGCTAAGCCTCAACTGCTCTCCATGACCCCTTCAACCTTGGGCCCTCAACTGCCACTGAGGTTGCATCTTCACCGGTGGCCTCTCCTACCCTTGTGCAGTGTCAAGACTCAGCTGCTCTCTATGACCCCTTCATGCCTTTAAAACCAGTACCACCTGGGTGACTCTTATACTACCAAGTGTGGCTTCCTGTGTGAGGTCCAACACTGGTTGCCTCTGGAACACAGCTTCTATATGCTCTCAGGAAACATTTTCCAGAAGATTTCACATCAGTGACTCCAGTCACTTAATCACTGTTAACTTCTCAGCTCTGGCTAACCAGCATCAACTGTCCCTATAACTTGAAGGTTTGACTCTATGGTGCTGGTCTCTTGTTAATCAGGGCTGATTCTTCAGCTCCAACTGACCAGACACCACAGAATCTTGACACAAATGACCCAAAAGAGGTTTTGCTTCCCTAGGAAACTTCACAGACTAGGCCTCCATCATCTGTACTGTTCTCAATATTCATATCTTTCAAGCTACTGCAGAACAGCTCACTAAGCACTAAACACTCAGTGTGCTTTGCTTGTACAAAGTTCCAAAGTCCTTCCACAATCCTCCCCAAAACAACATGGTCAGGTCAGTAGCAAAAATACTCCACAGTCTTGGTACAAGTCTGTCTTAGGGTTTCTGTTGCTGTGATGTAGCATCATGACCAAAAAGCAAGTTGGGGACTGTGATGAAATTGCTATAGACCCTGGGTACTTTTAAAGTTAGACTTAATGCATTCATGTATTATGATATGGTTACAAGCCTACGGGGGGCGGGGGGGGGGTAGAATGCATGGTTTGAAAGAAAATGGCCCCACAGGCTCATAGGGAGTGGCACTATTAGGAGATGTGGCCTTGTTGAAGTAGGTGTGGCTTTGTTGGAGGAAGTGTGTCACTAGGAGACAGGCTTTGTGGTGTCACTGTAAGTTGTTCTTCATCTTTTTGGTCCCCAATACCCAATACAGATTTAGTATTTAATTAGCATGGTTGACTAATTCTTGTCCTGTTGAGTACAATATTCCTTATCTTACCTTCCTTTATCCCAAGAACAAATTGCATAGATTATAATTCCTCCAGTAGAGATGAGAAGGGAATCTTGACTTTGAGCCATCATTCATGTTTTATTTATTCCTAATAACTGACAATTTATATGCTAGAGTTACTGACACAGGAAATTGAAGCTTAGTATTGTAAGCCTTTGTAATTGCCTGGAAGCTGATAATGGAACCCAGAATGCCAAGAAGTATAGAATTAAGCCTGGTGGTCAAGACCTATGGGGTGGGGTAGAGCAGCAATGAGGCATCAGATGGCAACATGTCATAAACACAGCATGGGACGTGGTGGCCAAGGGATGTGAGGTGGAGTAGGCAGTGAAGAAGAGTGAGAAGACAGCGTTCAATAAAGCACAGAGAGTGTTGGTTAAGCCATGTGGGGTTGGGTAGCGCAGTGCGGAAGAGCAGAACACAGCATACAACAAACATGGCATGGGAAATGGTGCCAAACAGCATGAGGTGGAGTAAGGCAGTGAAGGGGGATAAGCAAACAACACTCGACATGACATGAGACATGGTGGACAGATTCTGTGGAGTCGGGTAGAGAGCCAAAGAAAGACAAAAAGTGAACATTGGATTGTGAAGAAGCAGAAGACCTGGGTTTGGCCAGGCTATTTGGTAGCGAGAGACTGGTGGTCAGATAGCCAAGTTTATGTGTCTGGAGCTCCGTGTAAAAGCTTGGAATGCCATAAAGACTGAGAGTTCATATGTGGAAAAAAAAAAAAAAAAAACAAGATGTGAGGACAAAGTTGGGAAGAGGGGAATCTTAGGCACCCTAAGCATATAAAGGATTAATGAGAGGAAATGTTCCCAAAGAATATTGCAATGGAGAGGGAAGATGATTAAATATGAAGAACCAGTGCCATACATCCACTATAGAAGTTCCTAGAAAAAAACTAAAAATAGAAGTTGGTATATACTCCAAAAAATCTAAGTCAGAGAACCACAGAAGTGCCTAAGCATCCATGTTTATTATGACAGTATTCATAACAATATGTCAATATGTTATGACAATAGTCAAGTTATGAAATCAGGCAAGGTACCCATTAACAGATCAATGAACAAAGAAGAATATGTGATATGCACACAATGGAATATAGTCAGTCATGAAGAAAAATGAAATAATGCCATTTACTGGGAAGTGGATGGACTGGAGATCATATTAAGCTAAATACGTTAGACTAAGAGAGGGAGGTATCATATGCTTTCCCTCGTGTGTGAAATGAAGATTTTTAAACACAAATATGAAAGCAGGAAAGGGATCGCTTGGGAACGAGGGGACCAGTTGTTGGGGGAGGGGGGACAAGGAAAGGTGACAGATGGGTGGGTGTGGTCTAAATACATGGTCTATGTGTTTGGGAACAGGAGAGTGAAACTCGCTTTTTCAATTAACAGAGCAGTTACAGAAAAGGAGGCCTGTGAAAGGCTGTAGACACAGGAGACAGACACAAACAGAGAAGCAGCCAATGTTTTGATCATGAAGTATGGAGTGCTGGCTGTAGGGCAGAGAAATGAGATTTAATGAATTAAAGAGGACATATGTCTTGGAAGCAAATATAATCTACTCCCTCAATCCTGAAAGGGTAAAAACATCACCGTGGTTGGAAGAGGACAGATGTCAAGTCAGGGAACAACCTCACTATAGTTAAACATGAAAATGAAGAAATCATTCCTTTCTGAGAAAAAACTAGCTAGTGGAAACTCTTTTCTTCTGGAAACGCACCCCCACCCCTTGTTTCTCTTCACCTATTCTAGCTTCCTTGTCCAGCATCCATTTTTTTCAGCAGGTTTCCTCCCTCTAAGGCAGTGGCCAAATGCCCCAGCTTTCCTGATCATCTGAGGCATGACCTATCCCCTTTGACAGAATTTTGGCAATCTGTTTCTAGACACAAAAACCACATTTTAGCAAGCGATGCAGGCTGGCGCCTCTTTATCCAGTCCTGTCGCTCAGTGTTGCCTTGAGGATCCCAGGGTAGACAAAGCAGGGGATGGAAGCCCTTTGGAAATTTCTTGATACCCAAACCTTTGGTATTCTTCTTCCTAGAAATCACCCTTGTCTGCCACTGAGCAATTGTCCCTTTGGGGACAAATTCTGTAAACGTCTAACTGAGCTCAGAACTACTAAGGAACAGTTTGTATTTCATCTTAATTAATTTAAGTTTAAACAGCCACACATGGCCAATGGCTAACCCATTGGGGTGTGTGCCATTGACCATCCAGCCCCCTCCAACCCACCCCCATTTCCACCACTCCCACCTCCACTCTTATCCCAGACCTAGCACCAGAGTGAAATCGTGAGCCTTTCACAGCACTAGAAGCCAGATGCCCAGGAGGACCAGGTGACTGTCCCTGTGTACTGAGTGCAAGGTAGGCACGAGGCACTGCTGTCTCCAAGGAGAACCATGCAGGACAACTAGAGAGCACTGAAAGTGAGCATGAGGGTATGACAAGATCAAGAGGAGACCTAAGGCTACAAACAGAAAGCAAAAGAAGGGCTGGAGGTGGCTGCAGAGCGAGAAATGAAGGGGACAAGACAGCCCTGTAGACTTCAGAATCATGCCGAAGCCTAGCAAGCTCCCCAAATTCCCACCTCTCCCTCCTTCCCCTCGTTGCTGTCAAATTAGCAGAAGGACCACTGAGCATCTCCGAGGGCAGCTTCCTCGTTTGGTAGACGAGTGAGCAGGGTGCAGATGATTGAACTTGCAGCAGAATCAAGAAACGGAGTCCTCAGTCTCAACCCCACGTTCCCTCTCCTCCCCCCGCCCCTCCCCCATCCTAACCAGCTTCCCTAAAGAAAGCCAGAGCGGCCTCGGAAGAACTGCAGATAGACAATAACCAGGCAGAGGGTACCCCAAAACAGACACCAGCGAAATGAGAAGAAGTTGTAGACAAAACCGGCCTGGCCTTTCCTCTTGGAGGCATCGGTATAGGCAGCGTCCTCCTCCAGCAGCTTCTCGCTGGGCTTCCAGTGTACGATGCCTTCCTGGCAGGCCTCGCAGAACTCGCTGCGGTGCAGCCCGCTGTCCGGTCGGCTGGCCACGTGGATGCGGTACTGGCCACCATCTTCGTCGTAGCACTGCTCCCTCAGGCTGGTGATGAGGTTGTCCACCAGGCCCTCGATGTTCTCCTCCAGCATGCTGGACTCGTCCAGCCGTGAGGTGCCGCACTGGTAGCACAGCTGCTTGAACACGCGCATGCGCACCGAACCAACACGCTGGGCGCGGTCAAGGTGCATATGGAAGAGGATGACTACATTAGCCGACTGCCAGGTGTGCCAGCACCAGGAGCAGTGGAACCTGGCAGGAAAGGAAGGAGGAATAGAGCAGGTGAGACCCTCATAGACAGTCAGAGCTAGGGAGCACAGGAAAGAAAAGGCCAGAGCGTTAGAGGCTGAAAATGGAAGAACATGTTTACCAGTCTGTGGGTTCATTATCACTGGAGGTAACCAGCCACCATCTCCTTCTAGTGGTCACCCTGGGGGACCCGAGTAGCCTCCTTAGCCTAGCACTGGAGCCATTGGGTAACCAGTCAGTTGTCATCTGGAAGCTGCCTCCTGTGCGCCCTCCTCTGGCTTCTGCCCTCCTCCCAGCCTATTGCAGAGTGGCATCTAGTCAACCTTCAAAGACAGTATGGCTCTCCTTCTTTGCAACTCGTTTCTCATCTGCTACCTGCAGCCTGAGGGTGTCCGTGTTGGACTTGCTCAGACATCAATCTGAAAAGGAGTGACAATGTCACCCTCTGAATCCTGAATTTGGCCTGCTCTGAGGAGATGACATACAAGTTCAGATCCTAGCACATTGTAGGACTGTAGTAAGCTTGCCAGAAAAGCAGGATAGATTGACAGCCTGCAATAGACAGGGTCAGTGAGAATGCTAAGTTGGATTCTTACACCTTCACTGCCCATAACGAGTCATCCCAGGCACCGCAGTGATCCTGTGTGAGACGGGAAAAGTTAGACTCTGTTCCCTGGCCTTCCTACCCTCACCCCAACTTTCACGCAGGCCACTTTGTCTAATCTAGACTCCTAGAGTCACCGCCTCAGACAGCTGGAGGGCGGTGGTCTGGGGCTCACCTGCCAAGCCCAGCTCCTCCTACACGCCTGTGATGGAGCACTCCTTAACTCCAGGGAGGCACCTGTGACCCTGAAATGTCCTCTTGTAAGCCCCTGCTCACAAAAGCTTCAGAGGAGCTTGCATGTCCACTGGGCCGTTTCTGTCCTCATGGCTGGGTCTGCCTAAATCCACTGCACAAAGGCTTCAAAGGACCTCTGATGAAGAATTCAATCAAATGTAGCCAGCACTAACTGTGTTTTAAGAACTACTCAGCCACTGTGGAATAGCAGTGACAGCAAAGCAGCCTCTGGTCCCTGAAAGTCACTGACAGCATGAGCATTGAACGATGTGCTACCCAAGACACAGTCAAAAGGGAAGGGGAATTGGGCCGGCCCCGGATTGGAAGGCTCCCTCTCTTCTCCATCCCCGAAGTGTCGGGCCTGAGATTTAATACATCTGAAAGATTAAAAGCCAAAGGGCTTTGCACAGAATGACTGTGTTTCAGTTCTTCCTGAGGCTGGCTGGAACTGAGCCCTAAGATAAGACGCTCTAAGAGCCTTCGGAGCTGTCCCTAAACTCCGGAAGCCTCACCTACCTGTTCCAGCCCTCTGCACATTGTCCTCCAAGAGGTTCGAACGCTTCCTGTTTTCAGTCTCCTATATCTTTTTCAATAAGTCAATCCAGAATTATTTCCCCTCTCTCAAGCCAAACCCCACATCTACAGAAGTACCTGACGTGGGAGAGCATTTTGGGAGCAATGAGACTGAAGCATAGGAAATAAGAGAACACGCAGCTACTTAGAGGACCACCCAGCGCCCAGTGTCTATAACAGGCGCCAACATAAACCAGTCCCCCTCTGCTCTCTGAGCTACATCAATGTAGGTTTGCATGGCCTGCAGTAAGACTTCAGATGCTCAGTCCCCACCCATAATCTGCCTCTTTCTACTCCCACCCTCATGCTGTTCTCTACCCAAGATGCTTCACACCCCTACACTGTGGACAGCCCTTGTTCTGTTCACACCTCCACAACATAGTCACCAGCTGGTCTCACATGAATTCAAATGACCAAAGAGGAGGACTGGTTAGTGCTCCTGCAGGTGGCCTGGAGGCCGTGTGAGCAGGAAACTGTGACCCCAGTCCCAAGGCATCAGTCTGAAAGGGAAATGATGTCGGCTTTAGAAAGCCGCAAGGGACACTCGGCATGGTGGGAAGTGAGGAACACTTAGAAAGTGGAGAGTCTCTATTGTCTGATGCAGGTGGGAGAGCTGGCCCTGTGGTCATAAGCATGGGAGCGCTATCTCTGTCTCCACCAACTGCAACACTCAGGAGAGCAAACACTGCATCTCACCAGGACAGCGCAATAGAACCAACACGGTTTGCGCAGGTATCGCAAAATTTCAGAGCCAACCCTGAAATTGTGAGCATGGGAGAGCTATTCCCATTACCCACTAGTCTTGTGGCCGCATGTCCCCTCCCCACTTCCATCAGTGCCTGGAGCAGGTGGGAGAGCTGGCCCTTTGGTCATAAGAGCAGGAGAGCCAACCCTGTTATTGCAGGTGTGTGTGTGAGCCATCTCCAAAGTTGTAAACATGGGAGAGCTGTCCCCATTTCTCATCCGTCCGGCTAACCCTACAGTTACCCAGACCTAGACCCAGGGTTATGACTTGGCCCACCCCAACATCCACCTCACCTGTGGCCTACTGAAGCATGTGGAGGAACCTGACCTGCAGACCCAAAGTTGCAGGATCTCCACAGTACAGGGCAACAGCAGGAATTCCAGGAAGAGTCCCCGTGAGGACCGAGCATCCACCATGTAGGAGAAACCAGAGACTTCAAACCAGACCAAGGACTCTTTGCAGTGAACACTTGCAAGTAGAGCTACATGGACAAAGGGGTTTATGGCATGACTCACGGTGTCATATTGCAGCGTCCATGATGAGATTTTTTTTTAATTCTTTTCCCTTTTAAAAGATTTTTTTTCTCTTAAATTTTGTTTTATTTGGAGAGAGAGGCAGTGGTTCAGGGTTGAAGGGCAAATGCAAAGGGACAGGGGAATGAATGCGATCAAGATACATGATGTAATAAACACATAGAATACATTTTGAAAAAGTCATCATAAAATGACCAAAAAAAAAAAAAAAAGCAAAAAAGAAAGAGAGTCTAGGGGAACCCCTGCCTGGGGTCAACAGTTTCATCGTCCATTCACAGAGTGAAGTCGGAAGGGTTTGAGTGATATGCTCAGAGGAACTGAGGTTGAAGACTGGGATACAGAGAAAGAAGAGGACATGGCCAAGTCCACAGAGCTATGGAATCAAGTTCTCAAACGCACCATGTGTTCAATAACTTATTCTGTCTTCAAGTCCAGTTCCATTTGACTGAGCAGACGGACACCAGAGGCCCAGAGCACACGTCCCCGTACTTCTAGGTGGGCAATCCCCATGGTACCTCTTCTCCATTCCAACTACGCCAAGCACCTGAATCTTCCAGGCACTGAAGAACTACCAGTCTTGATCTTTTTACGGAAAATTGAGATTCAAATGCAGAACACAATTTGCTCCGAGTAATGGGAGAGTCTGAAGAGCTGTGGTTAGATGCCAAGCCTCTGTGGCTATCTATTCCCTGCTTGTCACCTGAGCTGACATGGTGAGACCCAGTGCCGGACCAGACTTGGAAAGTCTGTGGACGCTCCCCAGCAAGGGGGAGGTGCTGCACACACAACCCTCCCACCAGCCTCTCACCTGCCTGAAGCATGCTGCTCCAGATACTGCTTCCAGCCCGGGCCCAGTTCGTTGGGCTTGAGGTTGGGGTCTATGATGAGCTCCCAGCTGTCAGCTGGCTTTGCCACCTCCATCTTCTCATAGAAGACCTTCTTCCACTCACAAGTGGTCAGGCTGGTGGACATGATCCCGCTGGCCTGGCTGGAAATGTGAGTACTGTCTGAGGAAGAACACAGAAAGCGTGGATGGATGCAGCCCGGGCAGTCTCTGTGGTCCAAAAAGCCTCACCCACAAGATCCAGCTCCCTCTTTTGTCACCCTGGAAGCTGTTGCTATGGCAGCCAGGCAGGTACCAGGAGCCAGAGCTAGGGAGGAGGAAAGTCCCAAGTGGGAGTTCCAGGGTTCTGAACTAGATCATAGAGGCAAACTGAGTAGGAATACTGACCAGGTGGAAAAAGCAAGTAGGCGGTGAGCCCCAGCCCAAACTGCCTGGGGCTGACAGAGGTGTCCCGGGGAAAAAGGCTATGTGGTGGCCCTGTTCACCCCACCGCTCTTCCACCCTTACTCCACCTGTGTGCTATGGCAACCGTAGTACCCTAGGGAGCCCTGGAGAAACAGGATGGATGCTCCCAAACTGTTGATGCCCTATGACCATGTTCATTGCTTGCCAAACACGAGCTACTTGACCTGTGCATTAGCCCAGACAGACCAGAAAACAGGCTTACATAACCTCCAAAAGCTCATCCCCAGTTCAGATCCAGGCCTTCCCAAATGATACCTGTCCCTTTGATTGTTGCAAGAGTAACTAAGCTGGGGGCAGAGTGATTAAGAGAGGAATGACACTTAGCCCTCCGCTGGAGAATTCTCGCTCCAGTTGGTGAGACAGAAGTAATGTAATATACCCTGAAAAGCACAATGAGGGCAATTCAGACTACACGGTTGCAACATCCACGCCCTGCTCCCAAGGCTCACTGAGGCTGCTGATAGGGGAGCTATTTCCTTCTGAGATGCAGGTTGCTGCTGCCTCAGCTGCTGCAGGGCAGGCAACAGAACACCTCAGCTCCCTAATGCCCAGGTTAAATTCTTTAGAGACCAGAGGGGACTTAACTCTATGCTTGTATAATCCAGGCGAAGGTGATTTCCCTACAAAGGGGAGGCAATCTTGGGCAGGGAGAACCCCGGTAGGCGTGATGTTATACCTGGGCTCTGCTCAGAAAGCTGTGAGGGTTCCATGATGCCTGTCGTCTGTCAGTTGTAAGTTCTTTAATGAAAGCTCCGGCTCCCTAGAACCCCGGAGATAGCCAAAGTGTGCAGAACTAAAGAGGGTTGCTGGGGCTGGGAGTTCTCAGGGCTGCAGGGTTCCAGAGTTGTCACGTGCCTCCATATGGTTCCCACGTGGGATGAGTTTGGAGCAGTGCCACTAGGTGTCCTTGGGTGTCCCTTAGAGCAGAGACGTGATCTTCCTCTATCTTTGTGCCCACAACCTCAGAAAGGACGAAGTTGTGTTATAAAGCCATGAAGAACACTGATTTCTGGTTTTTCTATTGTTCTCCACTCAAATCTCCACACCCCAGCCCTCTTTTCCTTTCCTTTTTTTTTTTTTTTTTTTTTTTTTTTTTTTTTTTTTTTTTTTTTTTTTTTTTGTAAAGGTAGCCTTGACTGGCCTGGAACTCACTATGTAAACCACACCGGGCTAGAACTCAGAGAGATTTGCTTCCTTCTTCCTGAGCAAATCTCAGGAAGTGATGGGGACTAAAGGTTTGGACCACCACACCCAAACCAAATCTCTTCATAGTGAATCAGGACAACCGGGCCTAGAAATGGGCAACTACTCCCCAAAGGAACCCAGGACTGGGTGACTCCCTGAGGACTGTCCTGAAAACAGCTACAAAGCAGGCGGCCTGCAGGACCCATGAATTCCCAGGAACTGAAGAAAACTGAGAGCAGATTTGGCCTGGCCTAGAGCTACGTGCCGCCGTCCAGCTCTGAGACGGACTATGCTATGCCAATGTTCCCAGACCAGAGGGTAGTGAAGGGAAGACAAAGGGACCACGAGGACTGCCAGGGTTCATCTGTTTTGCTTTGCTTTGCGTTTCCCTCAGATGATGCAATCCCCATAGGCACAGGAGTACACTTAAGTTAGAATGACATCCTTTAAGCAGAGAACAGTGTAGTTCATCTTTCTGTACAACAGTGCCCTTTGCTGGAAAGTCTCTCCTGGGATACCATCAATGGGTGTAGCAATGGCTAGACAAAGAGTGTAGCAATTACCGTACAACAAGGTAGCAATTACTAACTAGGTCTTCTCAGTGTGGCGCTGGGCTACACCATTCAAAAGCTCTCCATGTGGGTGCATTGTTTACTGGCAACTCATGGTTCAGAGCCTCCTCCTCAACACTCTGGGTGATATTCTTTACAATGAACTAATTTTAGCCTCAATAAAATAGCACTGTCCACCCATCTCCCACAAAATAGGCCACTCTTGTACTCCTATATGGAATGCTAAGTAATAAATGCTTTTGCAAAATGTTCATCATTTAGAGTTTAATTGTCAGAATACCGTATGACAGTCACATTAGTGTGGGACCTAACATGACAAAGCAATGAAGAGCTAGGAAGTATGTAAATCAGAATCATCCGTGAGCTACCTCCCAGAGATGCCTGCACACGCTCCTCAGGGAACACAGTCACCCTCTACCAGCTCCATGCTGGGCTGAGTCCCCGCACAGCCGGCCATTGTTACTGATGGGCATCTGCTAACCCACTGAGTACCAAAAATTTAAGTTAAATAACTTAATGGCTCGTGATATTGCTAAAGAAATCCGGGGAAACAAAGGCGGTGTTATACCTTTCTGTCTCCAAGTTCAAAGAATCTTAGAAGGTCCTTGGTGGATCCTTTCCAATTACTTTGAAAGACTTCTCCATCTACAAACCGCAGCACTCAGCTCACCGTGGTACATGAGCCACTCTTTAGGTGGAAATGACCTTGGAGCCTTAGGACAGTTCACAGGCATCCAATAGTGGGGCCTAGTGAAGAAGGCACGTTGCCCGCATTGCCCTTTCATCAGTGAGCAGCAGCCAGAGCAAACAGAAGCTGGCCACATTCTACCACCACTAATATTCCAGGGCTTTCTTCCAGCCCCTGCTGGCTCGTAACAATTTAATGATTAGACAAAAATAAAGCATTCTGGTGTGCACTTGCACAGAAGGGTGACTAAGGATAATGATCCTATACTGGATATTTCAAAAAACTAGAAAAGTTATTTTGAATATTCTCACCATAAATAAGTAATAAATTCTTGAGGAAATAGATACGTTCGTCTTAATTTTAACATTATACAGTGTATACATGTATCTCTAAGCATCATATAATACCCTCAACTAATTTTTGATTTTCACATGTTTATTTAAATTAATTTATATTAAAAAAAATCAGACTGTCTGGTCTATGGATATGTCTCAGTGGTAGAAGAACACTTGCCTTGATAAACAAGGCCTGAGTTTGAGCACTAGGACCCTTACAAAAAAGAGAGTGACTACATCTATCTAGTTACACCATGTTAGTTTTCTCTTGCTGTGATAAAGCATCATGACCAAGGCAACTTATTAAAAGAAGGCTGCTTTGGGCCTGCAGCTGGACATGATAGCCATATAAAGGTGTGGCACCCAGAGCAGAAAACTGAGAGCTCACATCTTGAATCTCAAGCATGAAACGGGGAGAGAATGAGAAACGACACAAGTCTTTTAACACGCAAAACCAGCCCCAAGTAACACACTTCCTTCATTAAGGCCACACCTCGTCAGCCTCCCAAATAGTGTTATCAACTGGGACTAAGTATTCAAATGCCTGAGATGATGGGAGACGTCTCACTCATTCCAGCCATCACCTATACCAAGGCAGAGACCCAGGAAAGGGTCGTTGTACTACTTATGGATGTTAAGAAGTAAACAAAAGATCATGGAGGGAGAAAGGGAAGCTCTATGCAAGGATCATGGGCAGGAGATGAGTGGGAAGCAAGGGACACATTGAACTAGCACAGTTGGTTCAAAGTTGAGGGACTCTGTTAAGTTTCCTTGGCTGTATTCCGATGCTGCTGGTTGAACTGGGTATCATACACAGAAATAATTATGATTCTGCTCTGGTGCAATCCCAGGCATCATGGTGTCGGGAAAGGGGAACCCAGGGTAGCTTTGCTGGCTTTTCAAACTTTCATTCTAAAGTGACAACAGTCATTTCCTGTGCTGATTTGGATGAGAAATGTTTCTCTTAGGCTCATGTATTGAAATCCTTGGTCCCTAGTTGACAGTACTGTTTGGGAGGTTATGGAAGCTTTAGGAAATACAGTGTTTCTGGGAAAAATATGTCAACATGGGAGGGCTTTAAAGGTATATAGTCTTACTCCATTTCTTGTTTTCTCTCTCTCTCTCTCTCTCTCTCTCTCTCTCTCTCTCTCTCTCTCCCTCTTTCCCTCCCTTCTTCTTTCCTTCCCTCCCTCCCTCCCTCCTTCCCTCCCTCCCTCCCTCACCCCCTCTCTTCTGTTAGGTCTATGCATAAATGGAAATGTGACCTTCCACCTGCTCCCCTTGCCTCTACACTCTCCCTGACTGTTGCCATGCCTTCGCCCCCACTGATGGATTTTTTCCCCTCTGGAAATACATGCTATACCATTTCTTTCTTACGTTGCTTTTGGTCCTGCTTTTTTATCTTGGCCACCAAAAAGTTCCCCACCAGAAGCAGCCAGTTTGATAAAACAATGGAATGGCCTTTTAAAGATGAAGTTACCGCAGCAATTAGGTGGCAGTATCGTGTGCTGTATGGCTGGGGCAGGGCTCTCCAGAAAGTGCTATGTGCTTTGAAGCAGTGTCTAGTAAATGATCATATAATATATCTCCTGTAGCCAGGATCTACAGGATCAGGAACCAAAGAGTAGAAATGGAAATGGTTCCAACTCAGGTAAATGGTGACCCACTTGGGAAATTTCTGTTACTAGGCCTTATATTCTACTTTCCTAGAACTATCATTCTATTGAACTGGAAGCCAAGACTTTCTCCTGGATACTTCTGGCTTCTAATGCCCTTAAGCCAACGGACTAAAAAAAATAGTAATAGCAATGTTAGGTGAGGTGATTAATCTAGATTACAGTGGGGAAATTGGATTGCTTCTTCAAAGTTGAGGTAAGGAAGACTAAGTCTGGAGTACAGGGGATCCTTTGGGGCAGCTCTTGGTGTTACCATGTTCTGTGATTGAAGTCAATGGTGGGTTACAGCAACCCTTTCTAAGCAGGATGACAAAGCTCTCAGACACTTCAGGGATGAAGGTAAGGTCACTCCTCCAGTACAAGAACCAAGACCTGCTGAGATGCTTGCTGAGGGGTAGAGGAAATACAGAATGGGTGGTAGAGGAAGGTAGTTATATAAATATCAGCTTAAATCACGTAACCAGATGCAAAAATGAAGATAGTAATTCACACAAGTGTTTCTATCTTATTTTGTGTTTCTACATATAGACACATATATTAACCTGAGAGTTGTGTTCTCTTTTCTGTATTTCTCTATTGTGATATGTAGCTTCAATTACAGATAATATCAGTGGTTAAGTGCTGAGAGTCTGTGTTATAGCATTTAAGTTATGAGACATTCAAAGACTAAACACTCCTCAAGGGACTTTGCCACTTTATCTAAAATACACACTGTGCCTGTGGTTGTATTTGGAATCATGATGTTATGTTTGGTAAAATTATGATCTTGCTTTCATTTTTATGGAAATTAAACATGATATAAGGAGATGTGATTGGGTGTCAACTTGATAAGGGGTGGACTTGTGATGCCTCCTAATGGTTGTCAACCTGACTAGGTCTGGAATCAACTGAAATATAAGTTGCTGGGCACTTTCTATAAGGGACTTGCTTGCTCAGATTATTTGAAGTGGGAAGACCCACCCTAACTCTGTGTGCCACATTTTAGTGCCAGCCCAGATAAAAGGAAATCTGTTGTTGGTTTGAACACATTAATGATAAACTCCAAGTCACCAATAATGTGCTGGTGTCACATTAAGGAGATCAAAGCATTTCCCTCTGGGGTCATTTAACTAAGACAACCCAGATCTGAATTCTCTACTTTGTTCCCCTGCCCCTGTTCTGTCTTTGACACCTGTCTGTTGTAGAATCTGAATCTGTGCCTGATAGGCAGTCATATTGTAAGTTTCTCTTGTAGCTTTCTATGCCTACATCTGTCTGTGTCTGCATCTGTGCCTGTGCATGTCCTTGTATGTCTGTTTCTTAGTTTGTCCATGACCATATCTGTCTGTGTCTGCCTGTGTCCGTGTCTGTGTCCATGTCTGTAGAGGGAAGGCTCTTCTCCATCCTGGTGGTCCCACTGGACCAGTTTCTCTCCTCCTCCTGGGTCCCCATAGCTGCTTATGAAAGAACCGCTCTGGGGCTTAGTATCAGTTGTTTGGCCAGGGGCTTAGGCTTCTAACTGTTTAGCTTTCTCTTATAAATTAAGTCATTTCTACTGACCTGTGTATCGCCACACAGCCATTGCCTCACCTCTATTCTGGCATCTTTCTTCTTAGGCTGCTGCTGTTCTCTCTCTTCTTGGGTGGCTACATGGTGTCTTCTCCTCACGCCCTCCTCCGCCTTCTTTTTCTCTGTGTATCTCGGTTCAGATTTCCTGCCTTGGTATATTCTGCCTGACCATTGGCTGGAACAGATTTATTCATCAACCAATAATAGAAACACATAATCACAGCATGAAGAAGGGTATCCTATATCACATGTCCATGTCTGTCTGTGTCTGTCTGTATCCATGTTCATATCTGTGTGTCTGTCTGTGTCTGTCTTGTATCCATGTCTGTCTGTTTCTGTGTCTATCTGTGTCTGTGTTGTCTGTGTCTACCTGTGCCTGCCTGTGTCTGTCTGTGTCTGTGTGTCCCTAACAAAAATCTTAGGTATGTATTTATTAAACAGCACAGAAAACATCAAGTGGGGAAGGAATAAGAGTTTCTTTACAAAAATAGGTGGTTGTTCTATAAGGAATTAAGTCGCTGATTCCAACTGGCCCAGATACTAAGCAGCATTACAAGCATCACTGTTCATCAAGTAATATCTGTATGTTGTGTTCAACATTTACAGTCGATTTTATATGATTGATTTTAATCTTTATTTTTGCTGGCTTTGGCAAATGATTAGAACATGCCTGCACTACTCCCGGTCATGGCCTTGGAAGAGTACATAACTTAAGGTTACAGCTATGCTTTATCTTAGGTTATGAAAGCTGATTGCATGGGGGATACAAGGCAAGTATGCTAGTTGTTAAATTGCTCTCTTTAAAGGCGGGTTAAACAAACAGGCTGAGCATACAGAAGGATAGCAGTCATAGGTCTTAAGGGATCTCCAGGTACATAATTAACTCTGGCTGTGAGTTAGGCAAAAAAAAAAAAAAGTCCCTGTCTCTTAGCATGCAAGAGATGTTTTCATCCTCCTGCATCACCAGGGATGGGAGAAGGGAACATCGCTTTTTGCCTGTTTGCTTTCATTTTAGTTGACAAGTTTATCAGGCCTATGACTGCTGCATTCCTTCTCTGATATTAGAAACAGTTTCTTTGGGATTCCAACAGAGTGCAGCATGAATTCTAATTGGTCTTCATAATAAAAACTCAGAGTCGGCTATCACCAGGTGAAAGGTGAAGGATCAGAGAAACAGAACAGCCATCCACTAGTTCTTAACTCTACCAATATTCAGACCAAGGGGGCAGTCCTGTCTCTACGAATCCTTCTGCATCTCAGACTGAATCTTCAGACTGAATCCTCAAACTGCATCTGAGCTCCTGTCTCCTCCTGCCTTGTATTCCTCTCTCCGCCCAGCCATATCACTCCTGTCTCCACCTCCCTAGTGTTGGTGTTAAAGGCAAGTGATCCCAAATGCTGGGATCACCTTTGTGAGAGCTCTGTCTCTCTTTTAG